CCAAGTACATATGTGCTCCACCCAAAGCCCCATCATAATTCTTGATTCTCACCCCCAGACCCACCCACCCACCCCAGCGATGATCTTTTGATGTCAAGAACTGTGTCTTCTTTTCTCCCCTTTTCTACTAACAGTCAGACAATGCCTGAACCCTGTATTAATGTTTATGGAGTGAAGAAAACTTCCTATATAATAAAAGGGTAACATGCAAACTGGCCCTTAACAGCAGGACTGGGAATGACTGGTCACTATGACACACACTGACCACCAGGGGGCAGACGCTCAATGCAGGAGCTGCCCTCTGGTGGTCAGTGTGCTCCCACAGGGGGGAGCTCTGCTCAGCCACAAGCCAGGCTGATGGCTGCCAGTACAGCGGTGATGGTGGGAGCCTCTCCCGCCTCCTCAGCAGTGCTAAGGATGTCAGACTGCAGCTTAGGCCTGCTCCCCACTGGCAAGTGGACATCCCCCGAGGCTCCCGGGCTGCCAGAGGAATGTATGACTGCCAGCTTGGGCCCAATCCCACGGGGAGTGGGCCTAAGCCAGCAGGTGGACATCCCCCGAGGGTCCCAAACTGCAAGAGGGCACAGGCCAGGCTGAGGGACCCCCCCCACCCCAGTGCACAAATTTTTGTGCACCGGGCCTCTAGTGAATATAAAAGGAGGAGAAATCATACTATTATAAACTAAGGAAACCTCAAATTACATATTTATCTTTTGACTACTAGAAGCAAATCATTTCTCTCCACCCCCAGACAAAAGCAGAAGCAGAGCTCATCTGTACAAAAATATGCAACTTGTGAAGTGATTTCTTAGCAAGAGCTGAGATGATGTTCTATTATCAAAGAATTTATTACTACCAGGAGTTTTTTTTTATACTCAGTTTGGGTATGTATATTCCTTTCTAATCTAGCCATATCTGCTCTTCTTCAGAAACTGCTTATGAAAAAATCATCAGGAATGCTCAAAAAATATCCTTAAGCTTGCATTCCATAAAACCAATTTATAAGTTTGAAAATGGCTCCCATTGAAATTCTTTGGTTACTATTTTCTAAAGCAGACAATAATGTTCAAGTCATGTTGCTCCTGGAAATTGATATGGATTTGGGTTTAAGCTTTCCTTGCATATGTATAAAAAATAGTAATTTGGAAAGTTGTTACCTATTAGAAGGTGGTTTTTAAAGTTCACTTTAAGTGATTTTAGTATTTGAGTGACATAAGCATCATGGAACTTTCCTAATTGAAGAAAAGACATTCTTTATATTTTTAAGAACTAATATCAGTCTGAAGCAAAGATAGGCCAACAGTAATTATTTTTTTGTGGATGTGACCATTTTGGTTTTAAGGAGGTAGGCTGTGTTAATGCTAACTTTTGGGAAACATCCCACACCTCAAAGTTGGAATATGGCTGTGCTTATTAGGCAATTATTCTATGAGGTGCTTCTTCTTGTTACAGGTGAGTGTGGAGACAATTGTACTTGATGCTCAGCTTCTTAAAACTTGGCCAAGAAAAGACAACATATCCTAGAATCACATCATATTAGTGTTGGGAAGGGCCTTAGCATCATCTGATTCAATCCTATCTTTCCATGGCTGGAAGAAATGGTGCAAGAGAAGTTAACACACCTACCCAAGATTAAGTGGTAGAAAGAGAAAAATGTATGCTTTGACACAGGGCTCATCTGCTTAGTACTGCTAAACTTCGTAATATAAGTAGATTTTCTCCATAGGTAAATAAATAATACTATTCAACAACAAGAAAAAGTAACAGTGCCTTCTCTAAGACATTAAAGGGTAAAACCAATTGGCATGAGGCTCACCAGGTGCCAGGCACTGTTCTATGCATTTATTAGGTTGAACCACATGAATTTCCTATATTGGACCATTTTGGTCCTACAACAGCAGCAATTTTATGTTGTTCAACCTAAAACATACTTTAGCTAATTTAATCCTAACACCAACCCCATGAAGTTCCACAGATGAGGGAACTGAGGCCAGAGTGGTTAAGTAATTTGCCCAAGGTCAATGATGGCAAATGCAGAGCCAGGATTCCACACAGGAATCTTCCAGATACTCGTTCATCATACTACACAGCCTCTTTCCCACAGTCAGGAGTAATGCCAGACTTGTACCTTCCTATAGGTTAATAAATTTGACAAAGATCTGGGAAGATGACTTTCTCTATTATACTCAGTTGTTATGAAGTAGGTGCCCTCACAAACCTAGCTTAATTAAAAAGGTATAAAGTGACATAAAATAATCAACTGATTATCTTAAAGGAAAATCTATTGCTATACTCTTAATGAAGAGCTAAACAAGAAAATTATAGACATTAGTAAGAAGTTTGGGGAACTCCTTCTGTTAAGTGAAAAGTTTTAGGGTCCAGGAATAGAAGCAAATAATAAACTGAAACCACTAATCTTTCTTTCAATATGGTTATAAATTATGTTAAGAAGAAAAGTATTCTATGGAATTGAAAATAAGGTAGTAATCAGTAGGCTTCTGAATGTCTTGCAGGCATATTGGAACTTTCCTACACTATAACTGGATTGCTCAACCATCTACAAAATCACTGCCTTCTATCACAGGTGATTAGTCTTACACATGTATCTTTCTCAAATGGAACAGCCTATGCACTTAATGAAGGTTTATTAATGCAGACACATCAAAACCCATCATATTACTTGAGTCGAGTGAAAATTTAAAACTATTGGTAGTGAAACACACTCTCACACATAGTCTCCTTACCCACATGTGCTCCATTGTGTTAAAGATGGTATCATTTCAATTATTCCCAGTGGTACAACCAGTTCTCAACACATTCCATTTATGAAGATCAATCTGAGCTAGTCAATATTGCTAAGAATAATAGCCTGAGACATTTTGTCTGACACTTTCAGACTGTTTTCCAGCCCCACACAGGATGAAAGTATTGGCCCTCTGTAGACCTTCCCATTTAGTGAAAATTGTTAAGTTATTAATTCAACACTGAACATTTTTATATTTTAAATCCATTCAAGGACTTCTATGACTCTGCTAAAAAAGTAATTTGTGTCTTGTGATTAGCAGACAATGTAAAACTACAAAGAGCCTCATAAGGCTGGTTCATATCTTCCCCGCCTTTGGAATTAAAGATAGGATGTGACACATTCCTTTATTAGCATAGACTTATGGTGCAGTCACCTCAGAATTGTGTCTGTCAGGGAAGAATATGGTTTTCCTGCTTGCTGTCAACCTCAGAAGTTAGGCATATCCTTCAACACACCTAATCTCCCTTAATAATGCATTTTTATACCCATCATCCAGGAAATCTGTCTGTATCTTTCAGATCTCTATATTTCAGCTGGTATATATTGAGAGAAGTTTGCCAGCTGTATTCTTCACTGTGTAAAATATTAACCTTTATTTGCTATAAATTTAACTCTCAAGTTTCCAGCCAGACTCTGAGATATGCATAATATCGGCATCCTACCAGTAATCTCAATGACTTGGAGAGAATACCCAGAGAGAAAGAAGGGCTTCCTGCAATTCTGCAAAAAGCCAGAACATTTGATTTTATTCATACCATTTCAATCTTAATTACAACTTCAAAGCAAAAATTTATAATCACTAATCTCATTTTAAAATTTACAAGGTCATTTCCCCTCAAAAGGCATTTAAAATGATGCTGTTTCTGCAGCCTGTTAAAATCTTATTGCTACAGCATAGTTTGTGCTAACTAACTAAAAACATATTCTTCCATTTACAGCCTGTTAAATATCTGAATTAAGTGTACTGGTTTAGCTAGAGCTTAAAGTTTCTGTGACCGATTTGAAGCTGCTATGAAGAGTATCTGGACCAGGAGAAAAGTCAGATAAGCTAGTATTTTTTCCCCCCACCAAGCAACCAGTTGTGGTTTGTGTTAAATGCACAGCCTCTTGTCATATTTGCAACTTTCCAAGTCCACAGTGGAATCCTGAATCTTCGTCATTTAGAAAAATACCAGCTGGCAGTCACTGGTATGAAGTGGATTTGGCAAATAGGAATGTCTTGTTTGCAGGAAAGGATGGCAAAGACATAAAAGAATGCCATTGCCCCTGGGAAAGATTGTTAAATATCCAGTTTGCATTACTGATGGAAGGGAAGGTCAAGAGTGGGGCTGTAATAACCCATGCAGCCTCTTGAGGAAGTATTTGCCGTCATGTCAAATGTCCTACAACTCTGGAGGTTGATGAGGCCATTACTCACTACTCACCCAAGAATGAATGTTCCCTGGTAGATCTGGTGTTAGCATTGCTATTACACTCTAAAACGAGAGCCAGTCACCCTATCAAAGGCTACATGGCTAGCAGAGAATTTAAGCTGAGAGGCTCTGGACATGGTGGCTTCCCTGTGCTTATGGGACCTACATTCTCACCAGCTCCTCACCGACATTATGACCAAAATGCATCCCTTCTGGTGACTGGGGAGGGACAGAGGAGGCTGCATCTAGGTATCTGAGTCCTCTGTGATGCTGCTGCTGTGCTTCCTCTATGCACCCCTCTAAGTTAAGTCAGAGCGAGGTAAAACAGCAGTGTCCTGTGAGTTGATAACCAGAACCCAAAACTCACTTTTGTGGTCTTGTAACTGGCAAGTGCTTTGCCTGCAAAAATCATAATTTCCAGGTCTGGCTATCATTAAGCACACGTCGCCTTGCCTCCAAGAAAGACAACAGTTGGCTTTTACTGTCTTTGAGTCCTTGAAATGTTTCCTTTTATTCTATCTATCCCATCCTAGCAATGAGCAATAATTCTAGGCATCTTGTACTAATCTATTCCACACCATAGCCCTGTTGAACTGGGATTACTCCAGGGATTTACAGATTTAAAAAATGATCTGCTTGTTAACACATTTCGTACCGCTCAGGAGTTTTCTCGTGTTTCGCGCGCCATCTGTTAAGGACCGCTCACGAGTGTTCTCGTTTTTTACGCCCATGGAAAAAGGAGCGAATCTAGATACTTATGTAAATTTTGTTTGGTCCCTCTTCATTGAGGAAAATGTTTTACACAGTACCATACGTTAAAAAAGTACTAGGAACTTTAATTGTTTAATTGTTTTTGTAAATAAAAATGTTATAATTATTGAAAAACAACACCTAAAGTGCATTATGATGATTTAAATAACGTGCAGTTTGCCCAAAAACGTGCAGTCCCTGGTGTATGTCTTAGAGATTTCTATGCGGTACGCAATGTGTTAAAAGGTGGCAGCAGCTTCAACCCAATGGTGGAAATCTAAGAGTTTCTCCTAGTGTGATTCATATATTATAGAATCAATGATCAAACATAAGCATATTTTAAAAATATTTTTTATTGATTTTAGAAAGGACTGGAGAGAAGGAGAGGGTGAGGGAGAGGGAGAGAGACATTGATTTGTTGTTCCACTTATTTATGCACTCATTGGTTGATTTTTGTATGTGCCCTGACTGGGGATGGAACCCACAACCTTGGCCTATCTGGATGATGCTCTGACCAACTGAGCTATCCAGCCAGGGCTTAAAACATAAGCATATTAGCTCTAAAGTAAACAAAAAAAATGTGCTAACTAAAAGTAAGGCAGATTAGACGCATCCATGGAGCCACAGTGGTGGCTTGTATACAAATGTGATTTTAAGACTAATTTCATAAAATTCTGGGAAATAACCTTCAATTATATAATGTCTTGTTTTTCAACTTCATGTCTCAAAGAAAACATACACCTTAAAATTTATATAATAGCTGTTACTTATAAAAATATATCCAAACTTAACTTCCACAAAATACCATTTTATTTTAATTTAATTACCAGCTAGTAGGTCTGCCGATGCTGATGAACTAGAAGCAGCCTGAGGTGCAGGTTGGGGTTCAGAAGCACTAGTTCCAAATGCATCTACCCATTATCCATTATGCAGCAAAAAAGTAAAAGAGTGTAAACGGTAAGTACAGTGAGTAATTTAAGTGTTTTGCAGATAAATGCATACATATGGAGCTTTGTACGGTGAGCTAGTCACCTATGGATATGTGAAATGACAGAGTGAATTGAATTATGCTCTGATAACTTTATTCTCTCAAAACAAAAGAGTGCTATAATAGTTAAGAATTAACGCCTTTGTAAGAGTAAGATAACTTTTTAAAGGATAAAACTTTTGGACTAAATCCTGTCATTTATCAAAATAAGATCAAAGTGTTAAGAATTTTGTCCAAAGGTAATAAAACTTTCCCATTTATAACTCTATTAAACTTAAATTTTTTAAAACAATTCAAGCAGCAGCAACAGCCCTCTTATACTCATATGTCAAAGTTTCATGTTTATTTGCCACAATTTTTGAGCCTCTGAATGTCAGAAACTGTGACATCTTTGCACCCCTCGTGTACCCTACCCATCAGGGCACACAGAGTACTTAGTGTGGGTTTAACTTGCTAACGATAATATTTTAGCCAGTAGATACACACTTATGGATTTTCATGAAGAAATCACTTCTATCCTGAATTTTTTCCTTGTACATTTACTGCTAACAGAAGACTTTAAATAAATCATCCAAAGGAGTAATTCAGGAGTTAATTCAGCGCATTTTCCTGCCTTTAAATAACATATACAGGAAGAGGAAAATACATTTAAATCAGTGAAATACCTTCCAATTCTTTGGAAGGATTTTAAAACATCAAACTCAACATAAATAAACTCTACAAAATAATGTATGACATCTAGAGCTTATATGTTCAGTTTTGACCAGCTTGTTTGTTTTCAATTCTGAATTTAGTTCATTTTTATATTGCCTTTAAGAACTTAGAAATGTTGCTTTAGCCAACAGATCAGGATCGCCAGGGAAGAACAGTAGAAAGAAATTCAAATGAGCTGATTCCACATAAGGATGAACAAAGAGTTAAAAAACAATCATCTGGAGTTGTTAGGCCATGCACGGAAAATTATGAACTGATGAGGATGAAGATGATGCAAAGAAATGGCAAAGATCTTAAAAACTGGAGTTTACATTCAAGAGATGGAAATGACTTCACATGGTTAAAAAAAAAATGAAAGGGAGGATCTATAAACTATTATGAAGAAAAAAATAAGACTGTTAAGTGTTGAAGGAGGAGAGATACGCACCCCCGAAAAGGTCTATCACACCTGAAGAATCCACCTTTGCTGGGGAGGCAGTGGTTGCAGGAGCCGGTGATGCAAATGTATCCACTGCAGTGAAGCACACAACAGGAAACACGGCGCGTCACCCAAAGGAAAATGAAACCGTGAGCCTTGACAAAGGGCTCCTTGAGATTTCACGTTTAACAGCAGGCGGTACAATGCAGACAGTCTTGACAGTTAAGGGAAAGCAAATGGATCTAAAAATACACACTTCCCCGAAGAAAATAAAATTTGACATCTCGAGGTCAGAGGTTTCAGTGTGAAAAAAAAAAAAGTTTTGTCTTTTCATTGCGTTAGATTTGAAATATTAACCTTCCTCGGTTGGTGACGGGCCAAAGAACGAGATTTTTAAAAGTGATTTTTTTTTTGGTTAAGAGGACCCAAGACAAACTGCACGCTTTCATATTGCCCTCTCCACACGTGACCCCCACAGGACATCTGAAGGCTTGATGTGGGCAAAAGGACTCACCCGATAAGAGGTCAGCGGTGAGAGAGCTCTCAGGCACAGGAGAGGCCCCTTGTGGTGGAGAGGAGAAAGCATCTTCCGAAAGGGAAACAAACCAAAACCAAGCAGAAGTAAGTAGAAAGCTGAAATCAAAGCCAAACATCTAACAAATGCATTCACACAGGCGAGTACAAAGAGCTTAGTCACCAACACATTTGGGAAAACTAACGTAAGAGAGGGGAGGGTGGCTTTGGCTTTACCTGTACCGAACAGGTCTATGCTAGGAGCAGCATCCGGCTTGGGCGCTGCAGCGACTTCAGGAGCAGACTCAAATAAATCTAAGACCAAGAACACACATGCCTTTACTCAGCTGGATGCCTGAAACAGCATCACTTTCCAGTTCTGACTTAGTCGTCTGGGGAATTCTGACAAACGCAGCACATGGTTTCTAGAGAACCATTCAGTTACCAAGTGGTCATGCAGTGATAGCTGTGGATGCAGTATATCGCAAGTACCAGCATTCACTCCACCAGATGTAATGAGTTCAATGACAAGAACAAAAAATTACCACCAAAGATATCTAGAGCAGGAGGAGCGGTGGTGGTGGTGGTGGTGGTGGCGGAGGTGGTGGCGGTGACGGCGGTGGCGGTGGTAGCAGCGGTAGTAGCAGCAGTGGCCGCTGCAATGGCGGGAGCAGGAGAAGGAGCAGTGGCAGGAACCGGAGGGGCTGTGCTAGCTGTAGGGGTAACTACAGGAACACTGGTCTCAGGTGGCTTCATTGCAAAGAGGTCCAGCTCAGGTGCAGCCTCTGCACTACCTTCGGACGGGGCAAAGGGGTCTTTTGGAAAGGAAAGTGGAGACACATACAGCATCAGTTACCGAAAGAGACGAGAGACTGGCATCATAACTACGGTAAGAGACACCTGACATGGATATTTACCCACTAGCTAGGCATTCATTAGGCTGCTTGGACTAAACTACTGCCCTATTAGCAGGGGTCAGTGATTAGGATGTTTTTCTAAAGAAAAAAAACAAGAAAATTTAGCAGTTACTGCAAGTTAAGAAACCAAAACACATCAAGGTACTTGTAAGATTAGCCTACAGTCTAACATCAGAGATTGTTATTCTTCAAATCCTCACGTAATCCAATAGAAAATACATTAAAACATGCCTATATATTTGAACTCTGTGTTACAGAAGAGTTGCAATATAGCATTAGAGAATAAAAAAAAAAACATTAAGAGGGCATACTTGCACTGATAAAAATTGTCAATCTTGAGAAATTGTCAATTTTGATAAGTATGCACTTCATTGTCTTAATGTTTTAAGGGCCGGCATTATTTAGTCAGCTACGATGAATGACACTTTTTACTCAGAAGAAAGTAAAATTAGAAACACATATGGCCCCATCTAACTACGGCAGTTTCACATTAGGACAGAAAAACAACAGACGGGCTCGTGACTTGAAACCCACCATTTCCTGAACATGCATCAAGTGCCGCGGCTACAGGGGTTGGGGTGGCTGCGGCGGCGGCCCCTTCGGATGCTGCAGGGGCCTCCCCGGGAGAAGCTGCAAAGGCATCTTGGGTGCAGTTTTTAAAACAGCAGAAATTAAAGGAATAAAAAGAGAAGAAATATAGTAAAAGAACCACATTAAATTGCGAAGAAGGCTCCCTTATACAACATGAATTTCTTAAAACGCATTTTTATGGCCCATGCACTGTTGGTGGTCACAAAACAACTCTTTGCGCCCCTTCATGTTAGTTGCATGCAAGTGGTACAGTGTTGATACTGTGAGGCCTATTAGGACCCAAAAGGTAACAGGATTCTCATTGTATAAGGGCTCTGAGAAGCATGTTTTATGTATCACTAGAAATTAATGGATGTGAAAATTAAACCAAAAATAAATTTATTATGTAATTTAAGACAGTAAACGTTGATGTCCAGGTGGTACTGATTCACTACATCACTGTGAGGTCTTTAGTGGTTTCTAGCAACATGGATGTCTTCTTTAATGCCAATAAATTGAAATATACAACGGTAAGGTAAAACTTCTAGTTTAAAAAAATTTTTTATAGTCTAGTGCAGGAGAAATTATACTGTTAATACAAAAGGTTTACAAAGTATTCATAAAAGGTAGGTCTTCATAACCCTTGAAAAGCATTTTCAGGTACAACCAAGGACTTGTTTTAAAGAAATAAAGAGATAATAAAATTAGGGGATGACACCATAATGTCTTTATTTTTACTTAAATTTATTGTTGTTTTCAAGTATTGTACTGCTCTAGTTATTTGGAAAATGATCTACTTTCACTAGGTTAAAAATATAGTTTCATGTTTTAAGAATATGTGTTCTTCTATTTGGAGTTAGAAAAATCCATTAAAATACAGGTAGACCCAGTTTATAAATGCCCAATTTATAAAATGTTGATGGTTCCCAATATGTGTTGCTTCCCCCCCCAACCCCCGCCCCCAACAGATGATGTTAATTATAGAAAAAAAAATCCTGGAGTCTTTGAAGAGCTTCTATGGTTCCAAAGTACAAAAGGAATGAACCATCGTAAGTTGCCTAGAAGAAACTGCTGGGAAGTGGGCACCAACACTCACGTAGAACCTGTTACTTACAGGCTCGCCTTCCCATCTTAAAACACTGCCTTCCCTATCTACCCGAGTTCCCCAGACACTGCTTCTGGCCACGAAAAGGGGTTTGTCAGTTACACGTGGGAAACACTGCACAGTATACCCCCTTCTCAGAGATTTGTGTAGTGTATTAGGCTATAGGAAATCCTACAGTCAAGGCCCTTGTTTCTCTGTTTATCCCAGCACGTTCCAAAATGATCTGACTGCGAAACACATTAGCCATCTCTTGAGGCTCAGCATGAAATTAAGTACTCTAACGAACATTAAATTAGAGACTCACTTGGCTTAAGAGGTCCTTTATAAAAACACAAATATCCCTAGAAGGGACACAGGACAATCAGTTATTCACATCTTATAGATTTATGGGGTCTGATTAATTCACTCAGCTACACTGAGGTCAATGAGGGAGAGGCCAAGTAATAATAATGGAGTAGAAAACTACATGAGGAGATAGGGCACACCTTCTTCTCCAAATGCCATGGTAAGGATACTCTAATAGAGAACTTAGAGCAACATGAAACCCTAAGACGGGGCGGAAGAGCATAAGAAAAGTCTAAGAGGACGTTGGAAGGGCTGAAAACATTTTGTCATGAGTCAGGGCTATTTTCTTTTTTTTTTTCTCCTATAAAACTTGGAACTCAGGCTAATAAAGTGGGAATAGTAGAAACCATAATAGCAGTCACTATTCAGTGATATTTATGTGCCAGTCACTGTGTAAATATTTCATGTGCATTATTAAATTTAATTCCTACATATCTTGTGATATAGGTTCTACTATCTCCACTTTGTAGATAAGAGAATGGAAGTTTGGAGGCTCAGTGACTGGACCAAGGTCACACAGCCAGCAAATGACGGAGTCAGGATTTGGCCATGAACTGTCTGACTGAGGTGTGTGTCTAACCACTATGCACACTGCTATGAGCTATGCCGCATCTCACTATATACAATTTCCTCCTGTAAAATGGAATAAACAGCAGTTATATCAGTGTGAGGGGCCAAATAAATATCCACTGTGTGACTTGCTGGCCTCTTTAATGATCACTTATGTGTAAGTAGGTGAAACCCATATTGATAGCTCTATCCACAGGAGAGTAATGTTTTTTTGGTTGGTTTTCCTGTCAGCAAGACATCTCATTTTAATGCTTCTCCTATTTGGTAAAACTTAATATTATAAACTTAACCCACTTACTCCCATCAAAACTTCCCTTAAAGACAGGAGCCCAGCCACTCCAGGCCTGGCTGTTCAGTCTTCCCAGCCCAGGCGAGGGAGATACGATGAGGAAGACTGCCCAGCCACTGTCCGACTGTAGCCACAAAGGAACCCTGGGCAAGAACTGTCCAGCTGAGCCCAGTCAGCCCCAGCACTGTGAGAGATGATAACATTTCCACATTGTTTGTTTTCTTAAATTTCTTTTAATGCCTAGCTCTCTTTCATTATCAGTGGCAACATTATTCTTCCAGTATTGAAAACTAAAGCGATTTCCAATGCAGTTCGCTCTCCCATGTTACCTATTGGCAGTTTATGTCTAATTCTGCCAAGCCTTACCCAGCACGCTCCTCGCTGACACGGCTGTAACTAGACTTTTTTTCTTCTAGCAAACTAGGAAGCATTTTCTCTCAAGCTTCTTGTAACTACCTTCCTAAATGTGTCTAACAGCTGTCGTTTTCCCCATCCTGAACTACTCTCCCCATCTTCTCCCGCCACATAAGCCAAATCACATGATCCTTCTCAACAGCCCTAGAGTCACCCTTGCAGCTCTTCTCCGCTCCTAAGCCCAGCTTGTTAACCAACACGCACCAAATCAAGGCAGCCTGTGTGGTAAGTTCCTTGGGTTTCCAGCCCCTGGTTTTGTGCTCACAGACTACCCTCCTCATGAAGGCTTGTTCATAACTTGATACAGGTGATTGACAGGGTACCCTGGTGCTTGTGCAGAGGAATTAGCATCACTATGGCATTCTAGTGCGTAGGAAAACCCTGTGTTTACAAACTATTGTGGTGTTGTTAGTGAGGTCTTCATAAATAAAAAGTAGAATGTTTTTAAGGATGTTGTCTTTTAGTTTTACCAATATCTTTTAAGTTTCACTAAAATTTTTAACAGAGCCTTACAGTGCTATTATGCATGACCACGGAAAGAAGATTTTTATTTAAGTTTATTTTTTTTTAAAATAAAACATCTAGTAAAACTGTTTCTGGGAAACTTGTTTAATAACTTATACTGAGATGACTAAAATATTATGTGGGTATAATCTGAATGTTTAAAAATAATAGACATTTCCTACTTTTCAAACTTGAGATAAAATACACAGAAAATTTAATGCTTTAATATTTCATAACCAAGAAATTAAACAATTGGCCATTTTTCAGAAATTAAAAATTTTAAAGCTTATTTCTAAAGAAATCTACTTAATACTGCTGTGCATGCTACATAAAATCTCAAAATGGCATGTTTTAAAGTTGTGTAAACCAAATAACTGGTGTCTATTATTCAAAGTTCTACCACTTGCCCATTTTAGAGACACAAGATTTTTTTAAAAAAATGGCCACATATCGTGGCCAGAGACTCTCATTTAAGTTTTTATTTAAAAATCCCATCTCTAAATGATTCCTTATGAATCAATGAAGAATATGAAATAAATTAAGGAATATCACTGAAAACTGCAAAAGAGTGACACACATAGACTCCTGACACTTAAAGCCTAGAGATTTTATAGCTGTTAGAGGCCAGTTTTATTAACTATACAGATCAGTAGAAATAACTGATGAGATTTGCAGATGTACGCACCTGTACTCAACCTCTAGCCAGGTGACTAGAAAGAATAAAGGTGAAATCAAGGGAGAGCCCCATTCTTTGGCATTGATTTATATGATTTTCTGTATTACTAGTCATTTACTTATTTATTTGTTCTAGTCCTTTAAATTTGTATTTTAGGGTAGAAATAATGGCATTATAAAAGTATTTTCAAACATACATATTTCTCTGCCTGATAAATGTAGTTAAAGCAGAAGAAATGACCAACACAAACAGCATAATGACACAAAGATTATTTCAAAGAAACATCTTTAGCTCTATTATTCTAGAGAGCCATGAGAGAAGCAAGATGGAATTGATTTCTTAGAGGCAATTAGCTCCTTACACATAGTCTGAAAAACAAACATCTAAAATGCTAAAGGCACTAAATGCTTAAGCACTAAATTGTTGTCCATCCATTCCTATTCTCCTTGAAGTTTTTCTGTTAACATGAGCCTATGAGAAACTGCCATACCCAACATCAATAATAGGGGCAGGGAAAAGGAGGGCGTGAAAAAGTTTATTTTATATGTTTAAGCTAACACAAATTTTTGGTCTCCAAATTTATACAGGCATAACTGAGAAACGTTCTCTAGTTCTCTAGTGGATGATGCTTTATAATACACTATTCAAGAGTCTCCCTCCTCCTTTTTAAAAACAGGTTTCTCCTGTAGGAATGGGAGTGCAAATTCCTTTCCTGAAACAGTGACAATGATGCTGTCTCCTGGAGTGCTCCTTGTCTTAGACAATGTTGGCTAACCTCAGAGACTGGGGCCCGGCATGTAGAACAATGGTATGTGACAGAGTGTCAGAGTAAGTGCCCAGGGGAGGATCTGAATACACCGGAGCCTGCCAAAAGTCTCCTGCCCTCCCCATCATTTGCTTCCTCCAATGTCTTTACCATATTCTCAAAATGCCCTGGGAAAGATGTTATATTATAATGAAGAAACACAAAACTATGATGAATATAACACTACTTGACTTGTACAATTGATAGGAGCACCTTTCCAGGTCTGGACATTAGCACCACACAGATGGGAATACGTAAACAAACTGGCTTCAGATGGCTCACCACGTCCAGGCAGATGATCCTGGCAGAGTCTAGGATATATGACCCACGCCCATAGCTCTAAATCAACTCTGTGTCAGAATTTACATTTGCATATTTTCAATCCTTTCAAAGTCTCACCTAAACCTGTTTTTAATCTATGTCAAGAGCTCATTCAAATGATCTCTCCAAGTCCCAGAGCCAAAGATGGTCCAAGTTTTTGCTTAGATAGAATACGCTTAAAGTTGCAAAACTGGGCATATCCCCAAATTCAGAGTCCTCCAAATCTAAACTCTCTTAGATGATTTTTTTTGTCCTAAATCTTAGGAAATAACTTAGGCCAGGATTTCCCCTCCCATATTCCCCCATTTTTTTTCTCCATGCTAGTGTGAATCTGGCCTAAAAGACAAAATTAAAAGTATTAGGTCTGGTACCACTTTTGCATAGATACTGCAGGGCGGAAACACATATGGGACAAGAGTTCTAGTGGTAATTTCCACTTTGAGAAATGGAAAGTCAACCTCTGCTCTAAAACCACTGAAATTAAATGAAGATAAAGTTGATAAATTTAGCTAAGAAAAACAGACATGAATAAACATTTAAAAAATATTTAAGCACTCTGACATGCTGTTGAATAATGTACGGACTTTTACATCTCAGCAATCCTTGGAAAGAAAATGAAGGAACAGAGATGTGACTAACTAACCTCCGAAGAGATCCACTTCAGCAGTGACAGCAGTAACAGTTGTAGTAGTTGAGGCAGAAGCTGAAGCAGTTGCAATTTCAGCAGCTGTAGTAGGAGGGGTGGGTTCTGATGCAAATGGATCTGAAATCTGTGCTTCAGAGGGAGCAGAGGAAAGTGTAGCCAGAGAGTCTATGTTGCACCAGAGATGGAGAACAGATGGAAGAGAAGAAAAGGAGAGGACGAAAAATACACCAGGTTCCAAAAGATCAAAATGAAGGCAGTTAGCAAGATCCAGAAGTCTCTCAAAACAGAAGTTTAAAATAAAGCTTTACTCACCCTCTCCCAAAAGGTCTATCGATGTCCGTTATGTGTCAGCATATGAAGAAATAAGAGATAAAGCTGAAATATTCAACCACACCAGTGTCCAAGCAGGGTGAGGCACTAACTGAAGAAATTCTAGCTTTCTGGACCATTTGTAATAAAAAACATAAATGTACAGTCAGCCCTCTGTGTCTGTGCATTCTACATCCTTGGTTCAACCAACCGTGAATCCAAAATATTTGGGGGAAAAATGTTACATTGTGCTGATGTGTACTATGTAGTTTCACCTACGATCGTTAAATCTCTACCATCTCTACTGAACATGTACAGACTTTTTTCTTGTCGTTATTCCCTAAACAATATAGTAAACAACTATTTACATAGCATTTACATTACATTAGGGATTATTACTAATCTAGAGATGGCTTAAAGAGGATGTGTGTTATATGCAAATACTCGCCGATTTATATAAAGGTCTCGAGCATCTGCAGATTTTGGTATCCGAGGGGGTCCTGTAACCAATGCCTTGTGGATACTGAGAGATGACTCTATTACCTGTTATCATTATGGAACTTTTGAGCTGGAGGGGTACTTCAGTGAATTTCTAGATCAAGTTTCCAACTTCATAGATGGAAAAACTGAGAGCAAGGGAGGTCAAGACACTTACCTAAGTCAGGTCTAAACAATTTTGAAAAACTCAATTTATTTTTTACCAGATTTACCATTTCATCTACTTTGATTGATTTCCATATTCTGATGAAATTATAGCTAGCAGAACTTTAGTGATCTTCTTTATTTGATCGTAGGTGAAACTACTAAAGTCTGGAATACCAGAGAATTGGCGCTTTATAAAAGCTGTAGTTTAATTGTAGAATGTATAAAACAGTCAAATAAATAAATGCAAGTTTAGGGGTTAGAAAAAGAAATGCCAACCTAAACCTTTTTCTGCTTCGTAGGTTTCATATTATCAGATATTTTTCAATTCAATATAATCTTTACATGTATAAACCTTAGGTTAAAATACAGCATTTCATTGGGAGGTTTATACTTTCTGTGTTCAACAGTGGGATTATAGTTGGCATCCTGAATAAGAAGCCTAACAGGAGTTATTCTTTACTATACTATGACTCCATGTCAAACATTGGATTATTCAATGGCATTTTTCTCTTCTCAGTCACATGAAACACTTCATATTTAAATTCATGAATGTTCCTATAAATTTACTTTAATGATAAAAATTTTTTTATCAGAATTCATTAAAAAGGTTTTCCCCCCAGAGCTTTAAAAACAATATAAGAACCTGTAACCCAAGAGTACTAGAGGATATTTAAAAAAACTGAGAAACATAAATTTGACATTAAAATAATCACATTCATTAAACGACACATTTTGCAAACCCAATGAATATTATGTAAAGCACTCTACAGATACACTGAGATAATCAGACTCTTCCTAACCAAATCCCATATATTTCATAATAATTTTAGAAAATTATAGCACGTGGAGTTGACATTAGAAACCCTCTTAAAATTTTAGAATGTATACTTAATAAATAGCATGCAAAAAGGACCTACACTGAGTGGCCAGATTATTATGACTGGCCAGATTATTATGACCACCCCATCAGTACAATGAAGTGAATTAGTTATGCAAATAATAATAATAAAACCTTGAGAGTATTTGCTTAGGAAAATATTCAGTATTTTTGGAAGTGTCAATGAAGTGCTGATGGGTGGTCATAATAATCTGGCCCTTCAGTGTATGTTGGATTGGGGCTGAAGTATATTCTGCTGTTAGGTGGCCAGGTCCACATCCCAAGAAACCGAAGTTTCTTCTAATAATTTCTTATACCAACAGTACCTGGCCCAATACAAGTGTTACTCCACAGTCACACTTCCTAAAAATATTTTAGGATGACCAAAGTGGGTCATCAGAAGCCAGATAGACTTGGCTTCTCTCTTTTCCTGGCATTGGTGGGACTCTCCCTCACCCTGCCTTTATCAACATGGATATTTCAAGCTTCAATGGGACTTAGCAGAAGAATGAAGAGCCATGTGACAGCACAGTTTCCAGACCTATGATGGGGAATGAGCAACTGATTTCATACATTTGTTAAAATGGAGAAGACTTATTCAGCTGGAGGGGGATGATGAAACTTCCAGCACTGATAAAATGGAAGATGAAAAGTAAAATTTTCTAAGAAAATGTATGAGGTAATTAAGCATAGTGTTGAATAATTGGTGATGAAAATTTTTTCCATTCCTGGAAACCACAGGTTTTAGTCTCCAAACTCTTTTAATTTTCTAGATAAAATAAAAATATGCTACTTATATCTTCCTTTATGCAAAATTTTCTCTCCTATAAAAGGAAGTCTCTATTTTAGGATGATAGAAACAGTTTTAAAGATTCTGAAAACTACTACTTGTTGTAAAAAATTAATCTATCCAAAAAAGCTACAATAGCAAAGTTGATCCACTAGCAAATAGTATATAATCAGAGGGTTTTTTAAAATAATAGAAATCGCTAGAAAATATTCACTGTAACCAAGGAAACAGACCTACAACTAAATTAACAAGGAAATCTATATTCTGCAGTGAGCTGTAGCTAAACTTTTAGGTTATAATAAAGATTAAATGTGGTCATATATTTAAGTGCTTACCCATATCTGTTACAAAAAATGCTTGATAATGATAGCTATAGCTAACATTTAGGTTAAATTATAATTTTCATTATTGACTTGTGAATGTCAAAGCTTATAATCTTTCTGTGTGTGTACGTCTGTCTAAATGTATGTGTATGAAAATAGCCTAAAGATATGCTCCCCAGATTTAATTAACAAGAAAATGGTAATATGGGTCATAAAAACTGCTTCTACCATAGCTAATATTCCACATGGAAATTATTAAAGTCATATGATCACATAATACTGATGAGCTTTCAAATACATGTTGATAATTTTTATTAGGTCCATTAATTCAAATTAAAACCCTAGCAGTAATTCCATGTTTCTCAAAAAGCAGAAATCTACTTCAAGCATTTATAATCTATACTAATAAAAGGGTAATATGCTAATTAGGACGGATGTCTTCCGGAAGTCCATCCGGACAAAGCTACAGTGGCTTCGAGGCCCGGGGCTCAGGCAGCCATCAGTAGAACATCCCCTGAGGGCTCCTGGACTGTGCGAGGGGGCAGGCTGGGCTGAGGGACGCCCCCTCCAATGCATGAATTTTCATGCACCGGGCCTCTAGTAAGAAATAATCTGTTTCCCCACTTCTAAGATACACAGAAATATAACATACATAACTCACTTGTTTGTGCTGAGAGATGAATTTATTACAAGAAAAAAACACTCTCCCTATTATGGAGCCAAGAGGAGGAGTTTTAAAAATGCTCTGCATTCTTTTCAGTGAAATATGTTCATTATTAGCCCACAGGATGCCAAATCTTATAAGCATTATTTAAATTAAATTTACCAAAATATGAATTTGCCAAAATTTGGTTGCTTTACACCAACAGGAAAAAAAATAATATCCCCTAAAATGGCAATACTTATAAACACCTGAAGTAGTGATGGTCGTTGGAAAATGAAATCCTCTTATGGTCAGATAAGAATATCCAAATAGGTCTAAATAGTTTTTTAAAGTTTGTATTTTACTGTCTAGTTAAACAAAATTAAAATGTGCTTCAATAGTAGAATCAGCCTAATCTTATCAAACAAGATTGAGAAAGTGATTTTTTTTTTTAGTCACATAAGCCAAAATGTATTTGTTACAATTCAGCATCATCTTCAACCATCACTGGTATCTACAGAATGAATGCAAACTGAAGGTGGGTGACTATGATTTCTCAACTTCATATTACACTACTTCAATTTCTTAAGGCTTATAATTTTTATTATTTTGCTTAGGAAATTTATTTATTAGCATTTTTCTCCCCAGCTGACTTTTCCACTGAAGCTGTAGGTATTTTGTTGAGACAGAAGATTTATGCTGTCTAATCATCAAAAAGTGACCAGCAGGCCCTAAGTCAAGGCTTCCGCTCGCCTAGAAAGTGCTCTGCACTAATTATTAAAAAGCGCTCCCTCGGGGCCAGCAGCTTAGAAAAAGCACCTTTCTCTCAAGGATGAGAAAGGCTCACAGCTTCGCTGGCAGAAAGCAGGCAAGATATCAGCCCCACTCCGGAGTCTAACACAACCTGCATGTCCAGGTCAGACAGCCCAGGTTGAAACCACATGACTAGACCTACTGATGATACCTCAGTGTTTGTCACCAAGAGTTATTATTTCTAACAAGTAAAGACTGAAATGTGTTATAATAAAATTGGTTATTATAAATTATTCTTCACAATATTATGGGTCTTAGCAAAAACTCCTTGCAGATGAATATGAATTAAAATGTCATATTGAAATGGAAAAAGATTTCACCTACATTTTTCTTGTGTGTGTGTGTGTGTTTTATTTTATTTTTTTAACTTTTGGCACCCAAATAATTTTTTAGAGTGTCAATGTAAGAAATGTCCAAACTTGTAAAGAATTTTATAAGAGCTTGTTTGAGTTTATTTAAGCTACCTGATGACATGCCAAGAAGTAAGATCTCAAATGCTCCCAAGCCTGGTAGCTTTGTAGTTCTCTTTGTACATTTGGAATTAAGAAGGGGACATAAGGAAGATACGTGAAGGCAGGGAAATCGAAATGATTGTATTATAGGATAGTTAACAAGATTATGTGCTCCCTTGAGAGTGGCTATGCCTCTAAAAAAGAGGATTAATCTAGCATTTCAAAGGTGTGGTAAACTACATGCGCAAGAACAATGGAAAGGGCTGACTTAAAGCAAAGATACACCTTTCAGTAAAGAAGACATAGGCCTGGAGCATGACTACTCTCCATGAACCCCCAGTTAGGAGTTTATGATCAGATCACCTATGCTGTTATTTTGGGTCAGTGATTTATTACAGAGCCTCTCTCTCTCTGGTGTGCCAGGTTCCTGGCTCTCCTGTTGCAGTAGGTGCACTACCCTGTGCCCACACAGTGGACGAATGGACTTCAATTAGCCTGAATGCTGAACTGGACCCGGCTGCAACATGGAACAGAAGCTCTGGACACTGGCCCTCCTTTTGGCTCTACTGGACCCCCAGGTGCCCTTCTTTCAGGACTGGGTTAAGGGGCATGGGGCTTTGCAACCTGAGAAATGTAACTCCATGTAAATAAAGCCTTTTACCATATCTTGTTGTCCCGTGCAAATCTTAGAAAATTCATTTTCTAAAGATCTCGCAAGAATCCCGCTCCTGCGAGAAATTGAGAAGTTTGATTCTCCAGTGACAAAGCTATCCCAGATTTTAACTGCATTTAAGTCAAATACAATGTGAATAAAATCAATTCCCGTCAGGAATCCATGAAGGAAGGCGCTCCCTGAGAAAACCAAACTAGAAATGCTGACTTTGCATAATCTCATAAATTTTCAGGAATACCCAGACTTCTAAAGCCTGAATCTCTAGAAAACAAGACTAAATATAATCAGAATTTTAGAACAGCAAAGGAAAGTACTGCCTTTGTTCCAACTTTTAAAATAAAAACTATATGACTATTTGAACATTTTAACTGTATTGTGGGTACTTTTCTTGTCTCTGTCTCTCTCAACATATATTTCTATCAATAGATGCCATTCTGAACATTTTCTCTCCAAGTTTCTAGCACCATTTGGACCCTCAGAAGGTAAGCATAACAGTTATAGCCTGAGTAAAAGCAATTAAATAGAGAGATGGCATGACTGTCTGGTTTCACTCACCTCCCCAGGCAGTGGCTCCTCCAGAAGGTGGTGCTGGTGCTGGTGCCGCGGCTGCTGCCGCCCCTCCAGAGGAAAAGTCTGGCTGGAGGTCCAGGAGATCGCTCGACGGTTTAGAAGTGCTGAATGGAAAATATAATTTTAAAGTCAGACTTTGAAATTTTATAATGTAAAGGTATCTTCTAAAAACATCATAGATTTTGTATATTTTAAATCAAATAAAAGAATAATATTTTGGAAAGTATAGTGTATGTTCTTCTACACCAAGGGTTGGCAAATGAGATTTGTAAAGGGCTAGATGCTAAGTATTTCAAGCTGTGGGCTAGATGATCTCTATCGCTGCTTGACTCTGCCACTGTAAAAGTGAAGTAAGACATAGATGACACATGAACAAGTAAGTGTGCCTTTGTTCCAGTGAAACTTTATTTACAAAAAACAGTCAGCGGGATAGATTTGACTCCTGGGGCCATAGTTTGCCAACTCTTGCTCTATAGACAACAACGAAGTTAAATCATATTTCAAGCAATGAGTCACTTACCAGATCACAGAGCAGAAATTAAAAGGGAAAACCTAAATGCCTCAAAGTAAGGTGGGATTTTCTTAATCATGTTACGAAATGCTAGTTATAAGGACTGTGACAAAAGGAAACATCATCCAAATATTAAAGGTATTAGGGTAAGAGGATTATGGGTAATTTTTTTTCTTTTCTCTATTTTCAAATTTTTTTTAATGAAAAAAGTTCTTGTCTTGAGAAGAATACTTTATTTATAAACCAAAGATAGTAAAATGAATAATTACTAATGTACCCTGTTTTCTAAATAAAACCACAACGTATCAGTTTTGGCTATAAAGAGGACTTACCTGAAAAAACTTATATTTTTTTAATTTTCATTCATTGAGGCTGTGATTTTCAAAGCTCTTCCATTTGTAGAAGTTCTAAGAAGGAATCTAGAGCTTTTCTATTCAAAGTATAGACCCCGAACTAGATCCTAGGACCTTGTTAAAAATGCAACATCTCAGGCTTACCCCATTATCTCCTACATGGGAAACTTTATTTTAACATGCCCCTGAGTGTTTCACAAGTGACTCATAGCTTGAAATATGATTTAACTTTGTTGTTGTCTATAGAGCAAGAGTTGGCAAACTATGGCCCCAGGAGTCAAACTTTATTTTAACATGCCCCTGAGTGTTTTGCATGTACATGCAGGTTTAAAGAGCACTGGCCTAGCCCTAACCGGTCTGGCTCAGTGGATAGAGCGTCGGCCTGCAGACTGAAAGGTCCCAGGTTTGATTCTGGTCAAGGGCATGTACCTCGGTTGTGGTACCCAGTAGGAGGTGTGCAGGAGGCAGCTGATTGATGTTTCTAACTCTCTATCCCTCTCCCTTCCTCTCTGTGAAAAATCAATAAAATATATTTTTAAAAAAAGAGCCTAAAGGTCACCAGACCAGGTACCAAGCCATCAGTGTCCCAGGCTCCCCATCCCCTCTTCATAAACAGCAATGACATCTTTATCTTTTTTACAGATTAGAATTCCAAGAAGAATGGATTCTGCTACTTAAAAAAGTTTCTAAACCCTTGAAATTTGCCTAGTTTTGATGTCCATTTAATAAATACAACAGGTCGAACTGCCAGAATAGGGAAGTATATTTATTAATATTCATATCAGAGCTTTTATAAGAAGTAACTTATCTTAGTATAGAGGCAGAAAGGTCTTGGTTTTACCAAGTTGGAGATTATAAAAAGCCAAACTAGGCAATGGAGGATAACATACATTGTTAACGTGGGTGCATTACTTGGATTTATCGCTTAGTTCAAAATTTAAGTCTCTAAATATAGGGCATTCACAATCAGAGTCACAGATAGTACAAAATGAGACTAGAACCCTCCTAAGGCAAAACAGCCAAACAAAGAGTTAGCCGAAAGTTACTATTTGAGGAAGCCCCTGTGAGTTGGGGCTTTACTGGAGGCAGCCCTGAGATTTCACAGAACGTACAGTCATTTCTACCTTTCTCACCTCTGTTCTGACCTGTACGTGCTACTAAAGCTCATTAGAAACACCACAGTGGTCCCTTCCTAACACCGGAGTTTCAGTCCCTCAGATACACCAGCTGATTGATCTACAACTGCAAGCTTTTTAAAAAGGCATTTTAAGACACCATTTAAATTTCCCAGAAGAATAAACACTTTTTCGAAAACATTTTCTGTGTCAGCCAATTTCAGAAGAACTTGCAATGTGTGCATGGTTTTTCTACTTCCTTTCCCAAATGTGTGGGCAGCAAGGTGATTTCCACAGCTTAGGTCCTTCTTATGCTTTTAGAAGTACAGACCTCAGTAATTGTATCAGGTATAAAATAACTTACTTTGTGTCCTAAAAATAACCCCAGTAATACATGTTAGGATTAGCTTTCATTTTCTGAAATCATTTGGGTTCAGTACATAAAAAAAGACAACTCATCAAAATACTAATAAACATTCACTTGAATACTCATTAACTCACCTGACAGGGACAGCCGCGGATGGAGTTGCAAATAAATCAACCGGTGGGGACGTGTCAATAGTTTTAGCTGGTGTAGAATTAGGAGACGTAACAGTTGTGGCTGGAGAAGACTGAAAGTGAAGATGCACAACACACTCTAGTCAAATCTGAATCTACAGGACACAGAGCAACAGCACTTCCACTTTGCAGACCCATGAACTACAGATCTATAGGAGGAAATACTCCTGTCACTGATAACACTAATCCTGTCCTTAAACATGCTAAAAAAGAGATAGGGAGGTAAGGGAATAATTAAATTTATTCAAGTAGACTATCTAAAAAGCATCCTTGTGGCCCTGGCTGGTGTTTCTCAGTGGTTAGGGTGTCGGCCCACACACCAAAAGGTTGCAGGTTCAATCCCCTAGTCTGGGCACGTGCAGGAGGCAACTAATCAATGTCTCTCACATCAGTGTTTCTCTGTTTATTTTTCTCTCCCTCTCCCTTCCTCCTTCTCTCCCACTCTCTCTAAAAATCAATGGAAAAAATATCCTCGGGTAAGGATTAACCAAAATAGAAAAGAAAAAACAAAACAAAGGCACACTATGGAAGATTCCCAACTACAATTGGTTTCTTTACCATTAAAACACACATACTATCCTGTGCCTTACCTGTCTCACAGGGCTGTGATTTAGAGTATGTGAAAGTGCTTTTCAACTAATAAAATGTTACAGATACATTTGTTCTCAGCTGTAATATAAATATATGAAAATTTCTTCTACTTAAAAATGTAGTCCAAATAAAGGACTAAGTTCACATTGTGATATTAAACTGGACTTAGAAAATATACAGAATACATGAAAACTTACCTTACCTTTTCTCAAAAATTTAAAAATAAAATTATACTTGATCCAGCAATTCCTCTTCTGCATATATACCCGAAAGAATTGAAAGCAGGGACTCGAACAAATATTTATACACTCATGATCATAGCAGCATTATTTAAAATAGCCAAAAGGTGGAAGCAACACAAAGTGTTCATTGATAGAAGAATAAATGAACAAAATGTGGTATATTCATACAATGAAATAGTATACAGTCTTGAAAAGGAAGGAAATTCTGACATGCTACAACATGGATTAACCTTGAAGATATTATGCCAGTCACAAAATGATAGTTACTGGATGATTCTACTTATATGAGGTACCTGGAGTACTCAAAATCAAAGTAAAATAGTGGCTACCAGGGACTTGGAATAGGGGAAGTGGAGAGTTAATGTTTAAAGGGTACAGAGTTCCTGTTTTAGAAGATAAAAAAGTTATGAAATGGATGATAGCAATGTTGCTAAATAATGTGAATGTAATCCACTAAACTGCACCTCGAAAGTGGTTAAAATTGTTAAAACAAAACACAACAAAAAATAAACTTACCTTACTTAATGGAGAGGGAGCACCAGATCTAAAAGGCAACCAAAAAATTAAAACTGAATATACATGTAGAAGCATTTAGATTTGATACTATCACTTGGTCAAACACTAACTAATATACAATTTTTTTTTTTAGTAATGGACACACTATCTAATACTTTCTATCTTTTACTCAGTTATGACATCCTCTTCTAATGTTTCCCACCCACTAAATTTCTAGTATTAGAAATTCTTAAATTAAAATTTCCCCCTATAGCTCTAGCAATTCAATTCTTTAAGTTGATCATTATTGCCCATGTCCATCAAAAATAAGCTGTCTGAATTGGAATTTGAAATTTTTCTCTAAGACTTAGGAAAAATATGTTTTATAGAATTAAAAAAGCTTCTGATTTATTATTTCAAAAGTTAGAAAACTCATTAAGATTAAAGTATACTGTGATTAATCATAATTGTGATGCATAAAAGGAACACTAAAATAAAATAAAAATCCCTATGAGCCCTGTGCCTGAAATATGTCCCAACTTCCTTAAGTTTTTTTTATGGCTATAATGAAATCTACAAAAAATATTCCTATTGTCCTATTAGAACTAGGGGAAGCTTGAAAATGAACAGTAATCTCAATGCTTATTTCTAAGGCAGTGAAGAAAAATTAGGAAGAAGTAATTTTTCTCAGATTACGAATAGCAGTGACTACTGCACATCACTTCTACAAAGTGTTTCAGAAACAGCTGCTTAAACAGCTTACATTTCACCAACCTGAGTTGGTGGAAAATAACAATGAAACAAAAGGAACAAATACACATTGCAATAAGAAGCCTATTGTCAGGGTCTTATAGGATGTCAGGGATGTCTTACTACTTATCTACAGAGAAAACATCACATATAGCAGTAGCAGAAAAAAATTAGTAGAGAGTTAGTAACTGAATTTTATACACTATCATGAATTTTTGTCATTGGATGTAGCAAAATAAATCTAGTAATAGTATATGCCTGATTAATACCTTTTATGTTCAACTTCATTTGCAAATATATGCCTGCCATTTTCTATTTAAATTTAGTTTGTACTTAAAATTAATATAATGTAAAGAAAGGGCACATATAAATTTCTACTATATTATAAAGGTAGAAGTATAAAGGTAACATTTAATTTGGTTATGTGTAGTTTGGCTAAATATAATATTAAGAATGACATATCCTATAAAGAACACGAAATGCATTTATCTATATTGCTTATTTCAAAGGGCTTACTAAAACAAGTGAATCATAGTGCTCTCTGTATCTATAAAAAGCTACTTAGGCACCAAAAAATCTTGTATAGCAGGAGTTCAAAAATTCCCTAATGAGTTTTTGACAAATAATTTCTCCACTCCCACCATTTTTTCCTTTATCTGTGTGGAAAAGGAAAGGAACTAAATCTAAATAAAAATCCAAGAAAATAACAGCCTGAATGTGGCAAAGAAAACATAGAAGCCATTTGACATGGTCACTTTCTAAGAATAAATTAATTGAAATTAAATTATCTCTCAAGCAACTTCATGAAGCAATGCTCAGTGGTACTGACACATGAAAAATACCATTACAGAAAAGAGAACTGAGGATATGCAAGCGCTTTTTGAAATACGTTTCCAAACTAATACATAAACATTTCTAACATATTCTATGCTCCATAGCAATAATAAAGGTATAATAAAAATGACAGAATTGCTCTGCCATTAAAGAATATCATGCTCAAATATAAGCATAAAACACCATAATTGGCACAAGAATTATGTTGCCAATAATGCTACACAAATGCTATTACTAAATGACACGTGACTACCCCATGGATTAGACAAAGAAATGAAAATTTCCTACTGTCCCTGTGGAGCTATCATGCCACCTACTGCACTGTGTCTTAACTGTGTAAGTGTCTGTATTCTCCATTAGATGCTAAGTTCTTAGCAGTGAGGGGGCTCATCTCAATGATTTATATCCCCGGCACTTTACACAGCAGCTTGCCTTGTGTAGTCAGTGAAATATATTTTTGTATTATCTAGATTTTTGAATGAGAATACATTTATGAACTCTTTGTATAAAAATGTAAATTAACCAAAAATCTTAAAAATATTTTGTGTGAAACTAAATTGTCAGGATGTGTGACCTCTGTTCCCACGGACCAGCCCCAGCCTTTGACGAGATTTCATCAGGAAGGCGAGAACCAGAGGTGCTCCCAGTGGGATATGACTTTAAAAAGGATCATTAATCACTGGTTAAAATCTGAGGGCTCTGAGGTTCAGAGGGGTAAGTAACTTGCCAAGTCTCTTCATGCGTTAGTGGTGGATTTAAGACTCCAGTCAATGTCTGTCTGATGCCCAGAGCCTGTGCTCATTTCACATGCCAGCGGGTCCTGACAGAAACACACATAGCCTAGCACATTTGTTCCTCCCTTACACAATACATTGACTGCTTCCTTTACTTGTTCCTTTGTTGATTTTCTATCTTGCCATTGGTCATTTCTCCTTTATAAAAGAAGAGGCTATCATGTTTTATATATAAATAATGACATTTATTACAGACCTATACTTATTTTAGCTAGAGAAACTTAGCACTTAGTGTACTGTTTTGGGGAAAATAAAACACGAATACAACTTTAGAAGAGAATAAATGACTATAAAGTAATCTACCCTAAATTTTGTAAAATTCTACAAACTAATATGTGGGTTTTTCTGATTCACATAGTAAATGCCAAGGTTTACTTCCACAATGTTAATAGAAAGGTATCAAAAGAGAACATTTTTTTATTTCTTATTCACAACAATAACCCTTACATAGTTCTGGTGATAAGTGCTAGTTATAAAAATAAACAACAACAAAAATAAAACACAGATGTGAAAAATCTGCCTTCCAAATAATTTTATTTAAAATAGGTTTATCTTGCGTTTCCTGCACCCTCAACAATTAGAAACCCACATATAAAATAAAATCAAATTCTCTCTTTGGTCTATGGAATCATAGAAACAAACAATATACAAAGGTGGATCATACAGTATTGTATAAAAGATCCAAAATAAATATCAGTTTCTTTAGGCACTAAATATAAAGGGCATACATATTTTTATAGAAGACATTTAAAAATGCTTTGTTTTATGCATTTACCTAACCTGGAGACAGATTTAATAATTAATTTTCTTCATAAAATTGTCTTTTGTTATATGACATGGGAAAATCTTGATTACTAAATAAATGAAAAAAAGTTTGATTACTAAAATCTAAAAGAAATATATATGTGTGTATATACACATATATATACTAGTATCTAAGAGAGACTGTTATTCTTGATCCAAGAAGACCAAACTAAAGTAGAACCATTTATGCCAGTCAACTTGTGAGACCAAAAAGTATAATGAAAAACACAGATGTGTAAAATGGACAGAAATCAGTTTTAAATGTTCTAAATACCAAATGTGGACTCTTAAGAGTGTTTTTTTTGCATTTTTAGTAATAACCAAATGCAAAAAAAGTCACTCGATATATTACTCACCCTTCACTTAAGTTCCCAGGTAAGCACAAACATACAAAGAAGAAAATAGTTAACTACTGTAGTTCATTTATTTTAAAAATAGGGAATAAGCAAAAGACAAGTTCCTATGCCAATTCAGAAAAGAAATATGACAAGCATAAAATGATTTTAAAGAAGAAAAACTATGCTCAGCTAAAGGTAATTCAAAACAGAAGTTATTATTTCACTGCTTTTGGAAATGTTACTTAAGTATATAGAGCTAAGTTCTCCAAAAAGTTTGCAGCAGCCACCAGGGGGCGAATTTAGATTTGAAGTTAGGACTAAGGCAATCGACTCCAGCAGGCTGCTGCCGCCTTGACAGCAGCCCTGGCAGACTGAACAAGAGGACAGAGTGGATCTGTGCAGGGTGTGGTGGGAGGAACCTGAGAGGGAAAGAGTGCAGAGAAACTGACTTTTCACTGATGTGCAGCCCTCACTGCCCAAGGAAGAGGCTCTAACTCTATGGGGTATGCACTGTGCATTTCCTTAGCCAAAAGGGTTCCTTTGCCACAGGAGCAGGGCCTTTTCTCAGGCTCCCTGCCTCCTTTTCCTTACATCCAAGGCAACTCACTTGGCTTCCCAGATACCGTAGTACAGGATGGCCCCAGCTGTGGCTGGAAGCGGGCATCTCCTGTTGTGACTTGGTATACTCTCTAGTTTTTTATTTGACATCAATCTATCCACAAAAGGCTGATCACCCATGGCCACACTACAGCTGGGGCACACCCTGGGCTGGGGTAACAAACCTGCTAAAGCCCCCAAGAGGTCCATCATTCCAGTAGCTCTGCCATTAACTGCCTAAGTCTTAGGCCCTGAGAGATTCCTACACTACTGTTTGTCATTGAAAATTTAAAACAGTAACTTGGGAAAAATGACAGAAATAACACGTAGCTAATAAAACAACAACAACAACAAAGTAAGGTCAGAACACTCGTCTAGATTCTGGGAGAAGAGAGCAGAAAGGAGTTGCCTTTTGGTCGCTGTACCACAGGTAAAATCTCTGATCAGCCCACAGATCTGTAATGATCAGTTATTAGGTCTTCTCTGCTAACTTCTGCTGTCAATCTCAGTGGACTACACATAAAGCCAGGACAACCCACCCAGACATTTCAAGCTGACTCTGTGGGGAGAGCTACCCTAAGTGTTAAGGGGGAGATAATGAAGTATAAAATCATCCCTGACCTTTAGAATTAGAAAATCTATTTAAACCACATGTGTGAAAAAAATGGCCACAACACAGGGTACTGCATGATTAAGGAAGGTTTCATGAAATGTCTCTCCCGGGATGTGTGAGATTTATACAGACAGAGATAAGGGGGTAGGCATCCAGGACCATCAAGACACAAAGAGTGAAAAGCACTGGGTCTTGTGAATGCACAAGTTTGACACCTGCTAGAGCAAAAAAAGGAGTGGAACCTGGACATTTTTTGCATGTGTTGAGGAAAAATCGTAAAAAAGGTAAGTGCCAAACACAAGGTATAAAAATCCAGTAAAATTGCACTTACCACTGCTTAATTGCCACTCTATAAAAAGATCTCTTAGTGAAATGTCAGCAGCATGCCGTGCTGAATGGTTCAAGTGGGAAGAGTCTGGAGTCCAAGAAACTAGACTCGAGGGCTTTGCTTTTTTTAACAGTGAGGTTGGTAACACAACAGTGTTCAAGGCTGCTTGTGAAATTGTGGTTTTACTTATGCCCAATGATAACAGCCTCAACTTTTAAACATACGCAACTCTTTTTCTGATTAGTGTGAATCCCTTCTAAGGGCAAATATATAAATCAGCAAGTTCAGTTAACATAGGTGCAACCTACTAATTTGCTGAATTCGCCTGCAGAGGTTGTTGTAGGCAGGGTCACACTGCCATGAGTTAGTGGGATGGTGGGGGGTGGGGGGCAGGGGGTGTGTGAGGAAACCCAGAAGAATTACGATAAAGCATACCCTAAAACTGTAGTAGTATAAGTTGCACTGTGATAATTCTCATTCTTATAAAGAACAATTCTAACATTTTTCATCTTATTTATAATATACAACTAATGCGTACTTGTTTCCAGGTTTCTTTCCTTCTAATGTATTTAGATGCTGTTCAAGGGTCTCCATAAGACTGCTGGGAGCCTACAATAAGAGAGTAAAAATAAATGTCTGGATTGCTTGCTTGCAAAGTAAACACACTGGAACGTCACTGTAACCTTGCATGGCGGAGGTCATGTGAGATAATTATATTCTAGGTCTTTTAGTGTTAAAAATCTTTAAATTCCCTGGAATCTCAGAAAGGCCAATCCTATATATACTTAACTCCACTGCATAACAAATAGTGTTACAGTGTGGTTTCAGTGTAGAGAATACATTGGATAAACTTTTTCTAACATATTACTTATATGCAGTAAAGTAAGTTTAATCCAATTCACCATATGTTTCCATAAGACCACAGTGAAAAAAGAACAGGTATTTATATCCAAGTCAAAAATATAAGTGCCCAAGTACAAAGTAACAGAAATTTGAAAATACAGTAAAATCTCACTTATCCACTTTTGACTGAAATATTAGGAAAAATTGCTACTATATTAAAAAAAGGGGGGGTAAGTGATAGTTGTGGGAAAAGAATACACCTTTAGTAGTTAATAACAATTAAGATTTTCTTATTATTGAGGTATTTATTTCTGTAATAAAATAACTAACAAATATAATAATGTTATAATAGACTATGTGTATTGGCAGATTTAATATATTTCAACCATTTTATCAAAAAGTAAATGTTTTTATAACATTTTAGGCAATATAAAGTGATGGCATTTTACTGTATATTAGAAAGAGAAATAATAGATTCAAACAATATTCCACTCTATTAGTCAAGCATCAAAAATTTAATTTCATCTTTCTCAGATAATTTTAACCCAAATTTGACCTTAACAGCAGCATAGGCATTCAAAGAATAGCATTTCATGAATAAAATACATAACTACATTTATAGATACACTGAATTCTAATAATTGTATTTAAATTAATATGAAATTAATTTTGAAGGACTAACTATGCTAACTGTTGAAATAGTTCACATAACTCAAAAAAATCCTATCACTGTAATTTTATATGGTACCGAGAATGATAATTTAAAATAAAATTGTATTAAAAAATTTTGATTTTGGAAGTTCAGGATATTTATTTAATATTCATTTAAATTTTACAAATAGAATCATAAATGATCTCAATAACTATGTGATTATTATAAGTGTAAATTACTAAGTGAAGCAAACATAAGTTTATAAATATAAATTAGTAAGTGAACAAAATATTAATGTGATCAAAGTGATGAAGGTAAGGTAGAAAGAAACAACCCTATGAGCATTATCTAAAAAGTTAATGGCTATAGTGTAGAAAGAATAAGGACTATCAGGAGGTATAATAAATCTAGAAAATTATAAAAATTAAAAGTTTAAAATATAATTCAGGTGAAAGTGGACTTACTCAACAAATTCCAGTAAACTATGGTAAGAAGTATGCCTCTGAATATATAAAAAGAAGTTTTTAAAAATAAAGGAAATTTTGCTGTATAGAAGAAATAGTCAACTATAAAGTTGTGCTAATTTAGTAAACAAAATGTACATTGTAACCTTAAAGGGAATAAAATACTAATGGCTTCATAATTTTTAGATGCATCCATACCTGGTAACTTTAAAATTATCATAATAAAAATTATAATTTTCATAATAATGGAACTCAGAGGCATACTGGAACCCAGGAGGCATACTTCCTTTTTTTTAAATTGGGGTCACAGTAAGGAAAAAATGTGTCAAGTGATAGACTCATTCTCCATTTAGAAGACTCAGGTCCTCTATGGTAAGTACAATGTAAAGGAAATGTGATTCTGTGCTAAACCTGTTAAAAACAACAACAAATGCTACTTACAGACACAGAATAGAGAACAATATAGGATAACATAAAAAGAGGTAGTATATTCTCCTATTACATTTCTTCGGTAGCTAAACAACAAAAATCAAAACCAGAAACATAGTTTGCAATTTCTTTTTTTTTTTTTTTGCAAAGTTTCTTAGCAATTTTAGGAAGAATTTTTAAAAAACAAATTAATAGTCACAATAGCCATAATGGAAATCTGATCAAGAACACAGACTACAAAATTGACTTTTGTCTTTAAGAGGAGTTATTTTGCAATATGTTGCAAATAAAATTAAGTTTGGAGCATTTTATCTTAGAGGTTTAAAATGCTTCATCATTTATATTACTTGTAAGTACTGTGAAATCTAACAGAAATAAAGTTTTCAAATGTATTCAGACAGAAAAAACCTGTTTGATAGTAATGTTCAGGAATGCAGGAATACCGGCCTTCTTCTCAACTGCATCTATGGTGCTGAGCATATCCTGGCGTATAGTAGGCAATAAACCAAAACTAAAATTTCCAAGGAGCAAAACTCTGAGAATGCCTCTGCTATTGTAAAGAAATTTAAGATTAACAAAGTATAATCAGTTACTTATTTTTAAAATGCCAAAGTCAATAGACCAATTAGATGGAAACACCAACCCCAGAATAAGTCAGCCTGTGAAAGCCAATAGATAACAGCAATTTATTACGGTTACCGATTCATCAATGGTACAGTCTTTAAAAGGAGACTTTTCTTTACCAGTAGTTTTCAGATCAACCAGAATTCCTGCCATCAAATCCTAAAATGTTTTTCATAAATGGAGATAATTTAAATTTGGAATGTGCACACACACACACACACACACACACACACCCCAAACAGGAAATACTATTTTGAAAATCCTTTTCTTGGAACAAATTCATAAATAATTTTGAGTCTAGAATAAAAAAGGAAACATCCATCTAAAATTCAGAGGCTTTAGATTATAAAGCATCATTAAGGGGAGAGGGATGGGGGCTGGGTGAAAAAGGTGAGCTGAGTAAGCCAAAAAAACTCCAGACTCATAGACACAGATAACAGCATGGTGATTACCAGAAGGAAAAGGCGGTTGGAGGGGACATAGAAGAGGGTAAAGGGGGGATAAATGACTTGGGGTGGTGAACACACCATACAACATACAGATGAGGAATTACAGAATTGTACACCGGACACCTATATAATTTTATTAACCAATGTCACCCCAATAAATTCAATTAAAAAAAACACAAATGGAAAAAAAAGCAACCCAAAGACCATTCAAATTTTTGATCATTAGATCTGTGCTGAGAAATATATCAGTTCTGATATCATATTCACTTCTTACTCACAACAAACTTTTAAATGTTTTTAAAAGAAATGTCATTGAAACACATAAATCATTTAAATGCACTTATGATGACATTAGATGCACAATTTAAAAAAGGGCTACAGATGTCCACAATCATAGTTATTATGCAATTTCTAACCTAAAGGATAGCCATTAAATTCCTCTGTTCCATCTTGCAGCAAGAGGAATTCTAATCCTTTTTTTTTGAGTTACTAAGCAGCTTACTCCTTCTCCCAGTCAATAGGTAACCCTTCTGGTCTCCATCTCCTCTCTAACCTTCTTCCATATCTGGTGTTTTTATTTATTGTCATGGCTAGATTGAGTGCCATGGTGGCCACAGAGAGGTCTGGCAGAGAACAGAACCTCATCTCAAAGGAGCTAAACTGAACCCACAAAAAGTAGCATTTCTGACCCATCTGCAGATTAATTCTGGTCTAACACTGTTTAAAGGATTAACCCTAGAGCAGCTCACATTCCAGTTTGGACTTCACTCTCCTGTCCCAGTGGGTCTAAATCCCCAGTTCAATTAGAAGCCTCCTTTGGACTCATGGAAAGGGCTCTAAATAAGAATTAGGGAATGTGTTTAGCTCTGTTACTTATAATCCCAACAGAAATCACAATTAGGTAGCTTAAGAAATTTCAGAAGCACACAATACTCTTGCACTGAGATGTAAATATATACTGGAGAAATGAACTATAAAAATTTTTTAATGAGGAGGTGATTTATAAATTAAACATTAATAGTGAAGTTTATGTGGCTCTTAAGGTCATAACAAAAGTAGAGGATATGAAATACCAGAGTCTAATGGATCTCTACCAAAGAATATCTTTTTATTTGGCCCAGGGCAAGATTTTATCTTAAGAATTTTATCTCTGTTCACCAAATTGTGATAGCACACAACATTATATAAAATATGTCGCCATAGCCCGTTTGGCTCAGTGGATATAGTATCAGCCTGTGAACTGAAGGGTCCTGGGTTTGATTCCAGTCAAGGGCACATGCCCAGGTTGTGGGCTCGATCCCCAGTAGGGGGCATGCAGGAGGCAGCCAATCAATGATTCTCTCTCATCATTGATTTTTCTATCTCTCCTTCTCCCTTCCTCTCTGAAAGCAATAAAAATATATTTAAAAAAGATTATGTCTCTAAACTCTAGAGAGTTATATAAATTATAAATTTTATAGTATCAGTAAAAATTAAATGCAAGTATGTGATTCCTTCTTTTGATGATTTACTATAATTCTATAATTTTAAAAACAAAACAGTATTAAGTATTCCTTTAAACCTTTCCTTGTCTTCCTTTAGGCTCTGCCCTAACTAAGTAAGACAAAGGAGGATTTATTTTCTTATTAACTGAGAGCACTTCTAACAATACATCCAGTTTTTCTTTTATTCTACAGTGAGCTGTCTATAGAGTTGAATAAAGATGATTTATCATTTCTAAAAGCTATTTATTGAGCTGAGTATTTTCATATCCAACTTTGTAGGTTAACATGCATTATTTATTTGGACTATTTTACAAATAAAGACAAAAATCAGCATGGTAGAACTATATCAGAGTTTGCCCATTCATGCCCCTTCCTCGTACCTGAGGCATGCTGAAATCTAGAAGAACAAGCAGGAAGAAAAATTCAAAAGTCCTGATTATCATGCCTACAAATATCTTTTCATAGATAAATTTTTTTTAAACATTATTCAAGGCTCCCTTTTGATTCAAGTTCAAGAATGAAAATATGACCTCAGTAAGTAAATTCAGTTGCCTTTAAAGAAGAAACTATGTTTATAAGGGCAGGAAAATCTTCATATTAGCTCTAGAAAAATATTTAATAGCTAGAAAAAATAAGCTAGAATAATTTCCAAGAAAGTCCATTGGCCTAAATTTAAAATCCATTAAATACTTTAAATACTTACAAGACTTTATCAATGATCTAGGTAAGACCTTTTATGAAAAACTACAGAATAATTTCATGTACACTGAATCTTCCACTCAGAGAATCACTTACCTGTGTGAGGTCAGGAATATCACCTTTATCAATGCCAACTTGCTGTAGATTAAGAAAATAAAAAGTAACTTAATGGGAATTTAAAAAATTAATTTCTCTGAATTTAATTGAAAAGCACCACATAATTAGCTAAAACTATATGTCAAACATGGTATAGAATTGTTATGTATGTTAATCTTACTTGGAGCATATGCTCTTTGTGTAGTTTTCCACTCAATATAATATAGCAATGATTTCATTAATATAGTTAGATATAACAAGTATAAAGAATTATGTTAAAATCCAAAAACAGAACTTAAGAAATTGAAGTGTAAAATTTAAGGTTTCCTCCATATTTAACAGCAGCTAAAAAATCTTAAAAAATTGCATAGACTAAATTTAAATAGTTAATTATGCCCAGTAAGTCCTTTGTACAGAAAATGTTTATTTTTTAAAAAATAATTTAGTTAAAAAATTTTAAATTTAAACAAACCCTTCCCCAACCAAAAACAAACAAACAGTTCAGGTTCTCTGTACCCATGAGCTTAGATTTCTCTTATTTATTTATTTTTTAGATTCTACATATAAGAGTGATCATATGGTTTTTGCTTTCTCTGACTTATTTCACTTTGCACAATGCCCTCAAGATCCATCCCTGATGTTATCAGTGGCAAGATTTCATTTTCTTTTATGGCTGAATAACAGTGCAGTGTGTGTGTGTGTGTGTGTGTGTGTGTGTGTGTGTGTGTTTGTAACATTTTCTTTATCCATTCATCTATTGATGGACACTAGGGTTATTTCCATATTTTGACCAATATAAATAATGGTGCAATGAACATGGGGTGCATATATTTTGTAATTAGAGTTTTCATTTACTTTGGATAAATATCCATGTGTGGAATTTTCAGATTATACAGTTCTATTTTTTTTAAATCTGCCTTTCTGATGAAAGAGAGAGAGAGAGAGAGAGAGAGAGAGAGAGAGAGAGAGAGAGAAAGAGAAAGAAATCTCTTACTTGCCTTAACCAGACCGAACCTGCAACCTAGGTATGTGCCCTGACTAGGAATCAAATCCACGACCTTTTGGCATATGGGACAATGCTCCAATCAACTGCAGTTCTATTTTTAATTTTTTTGAAGAATCTGCATATTTTTTTCTATGCTGGTTGCACCAATTTACATTCCTAGTAACAGTGCACAGGGTTCCCTTTTTTCCACATCCTTGCCAATACTTGTTATTTCTTGTCTTTTTAAAAAACAGCCATTCTAACTAACATGTGTGAGGTGATATCTCATTGTGGATTTGATTTGCATTTCCTAATAATTAATGATGTTGAGCATCATTTTATGTACCTGTTGGCCATCAGTATGTCTTTTTTTTTTTTGGAAAAATGTCTATTCAGATCTTCTATTTTTAATTGAACTATTTGCTTTTTTGCTATTGAGTTGTATGAGGTTTTTGTTTGTTTTGTTAATCCTCACCAATCCTTGTCTCATCCCTAATCTTAGAAAAAAAACCTTTCAGCTTTTCACCACTGAATATGATATAAATTTTGTTTGTTGGGAAGTTTTTGATTACTGATTCAATATTCTTGTTAGTAGTAAATTTGGTCAGATGTTCTATTTCAGAATATAATTCAGTCTTGGTAGGTTGTATATTTCTAGTTATTTATTTCTCCTAGGATGTCCTATTTACTGGCGTATAATTGTTCATAATACTCTCCTATGGACCTTGGTATTGCTGTAGTATCAGTTATAACATCTCTTTCATGTCTGTTTACTTAGTTAAGTCCCTTCTCTTTTTTTCTCTCGGCGAGTCTAGCTAACATTTTGTCAATTTTATGTTTTCAAATATTGAGCTTTTAGTCTCAACTGATCTTTTCTATTATCTTTTAAGTCTCTACTTCACTTATTTCTGCTTGAATCTTTGTTATTTTCTTCCTTCTAGCTTTAGGCTTTGTTTTACTTTTTTTTAGTTCCTTAAGGTGTAAAGTTAGATTGTTTGAGACGTTTCTCATTTCTTGAAGTAGGCATTTATCACTATGCACTGCCTTTTCTGTATCCCATAAATTCTTGTATGTTACATTTTCATTTTCTCTTGTCTCAAGGTCTTTTTGATTCTCTTTTGACTTCTTTTTTGACCCACTGGTTGTCAGTAAAATGTTTAATCCCTACCTATTTGTGAATTTTCCAGTTTTCTTCATGTAATTTATTTCCAGTTTCATACCACTGTGGTCAGAAAATATGCTTGATATGATTTCAATCCTCTTAAATTTATTAAAACTCGTTTTGTGTCCTAACATGTGCTTTATCTTGTAAAATGTCGCATATGTAGTTGAGAAGAATGTGTTTCCTATTGCTTTTGGATGGAATGTTTATAACATTGTTATCAATTTAAAATAGACTGTTATAGATACAAGTTGTTACTCGTATATGTAAGCCTCATGGTAACCACAAAACAAGAATCTATAGTAAATACATAAAAGATAAAGAAATCTAACCATACCACTAAAGAAAGTCAGCAAAGCACAGAGAAAGAGAACAAGAGAAGAAAGGAAGAGAGAAGTATGAACACAGCTAGAAAACATTTAAATATGGCAATAATCTCAAACCTATGAACAATTAATTACTTTATATGTAAATGGACTAAATTCTCCAATCAAAATACACAGAATGGATAAACAAAATACATATGCTGACTACAAGAGACACGCTTTATATTTATTTATTTACTTACTTACTAGAGGCCCAGTGCACGAAATTTGTGCATGGGTAGGGTCCCTAGGCCTGACTGGTGATCAGGGCCAATATGTGAGGCGACCAGTGGGGCGATTGGGGGACTCCTGCTGGCACCCGCCTTGGCTGGCCTGGGGCCTGTGGGCTGGTGGCAGCTCCTTATTGAGCGTTTGTCCCCTGGTGGTCAGTGCGCGTCATAGTGACCACCCATTCCACCATTCAGTTGATTTGCATATTAGGCTTTTATTATACTGGATTTATTTTTAAAGTAATTCTTATTTTGGTTTTTAATTCTCACCCAAAGACATGCTTTTACTTTTTTTTAGAGAGAGAAGAAGGACATCAATGTGAGAGTGAAACATCATTTAGCTGCCTCCTGCATGCACCCCAACCGGAGATCAAACCTGCAACCTGGGTATGTGCCCTGACTGGGAATCCAATCTACCACCTTTCAGTGTACGGAATTATAATCCAACTGAGTCATACCGGCCAAGGCAAGAGACACACTTTAGATGTAAAGACACACACAGATTCAAAGTGAAGGGATGGAAAAAGATATTCCTCACAAATGGAAACCAAAAGAAAGCAGGAGTAGCTATACTTATACTAGACAAACTTTAAAGCAAAGACTGTAATAGAAAAAGAAGGGCGTTATATCATGATAAAAAAGTCTATCTAACAAGAGGATATAATATTTGTAAATATTTATTCACCTAACATAAGAGCACTTAAATTTATGTAAGGCAAACATTAAAAGGTAAAAGGGAGAAGTAGACAGCAATACAATAATAATAGGGACCTTAATACCCCACTTATATCAATGAATAGGTCATTCAGACAGAACAATAAAGAAACATCAGCCTTAGAGGACATGTTATATCAGATGAACTTAACAGATTTTTATAAAACATTCCATCCAAAAGCAACAGAATGTACACTTAGGATGTACTTTCAATCCATTCCCAGCGAGAACCATTTTGTTAGTTTCTTATGTACCCTTCTAGAATTTCTTTATGTATATCCAAAGAAACGTGAACTATATAAATATTTATATCCCCCATCATTATACAATAACATTGTGTTATATACACTGAGCTTATATTTTTCATTTAATAATTTACCTTAGCTCTATATCTAAATTAATACACAGAGTTCCCTAATTTTTTTAAACAGCTACGTTGTCCTGTAATTTACTTAAGAAGTCATCTATTAACAGGCATTGAAGTTGATTCCAATCTCCTGCCATTGCAAGCAATGCTGCACACAATATTTTGCACCTGTGTGGACTCACCTGTAGAATACATTTGTAGAAGTGGAATTACTAGGTAGAAGCATACAGGAATTTTTATTAGTAGTTGGGGAAGGAAATGAGGGAAAAAGAAGTACAAAGAAAGAGCACATAAGTGTGCAAATATAGAAATATATCAATAAAGCTAAATCAATGAAGAGAGTAATAGGTGCTTACCAATACTACTTTATAACTCTTGTACAGATTTGAAGATTATTCAAAATAAAAAGTTGGCAAAAAATGCAAATTATAACTTCAATGATCTCATTTTATATAAATGATAGAATCGACTCCCAAAGAAACAAAGTGAGTTAAACCAAAGTCTCTCTTTGAGAAATGAAGGGCCTTGATTATGCTAATGGAATGTAGAAGCAAATACATGAAGCATAAATGTTCCTACAAAGACAATAAGGCAAATAGGAGATTGGAAAATCCACTTGAGTGTCAAGTGCTGAGCTCACTTCTTTCCTCTGCCTTTTCTATGCCTAAATTAGCTTGGGCACTACTCACATTTTGGGATGAGCTCACAATTTGCTTTGTTGGGGGTTGTCTTGTGCACTGTAGGATATTAGCAGTATCATTGGTCTCTCCCCATTGGATGTCAGTAGGCCTCCCCATCTTCCTCTGTTTATACATAAATGTAAGTGGGGCTCTAAAGTCCCTGCTATTATTGTATTGCTGCCTACTTGGTTGTAATAATAAAAATGTCTCCAGACATTGTCCCCTGGGAAGGAAGGGAAAGCAAAATTGCCTACTGTGGAGCACCACTCGTTTACAGGGCACTGGCCCTCATCCCTCTAGATCAGCTTAAGCTGGAGATTCCACCCTGAAATACATATTTTTAACTGAGAATGACTAGACTCTGGCTTTAGAGAAGCCACTGATGCCTCCCTAAACTCACTTATGTTATTATGAATTATGGAAATTATGAACTAAGGCAACTTCATCCCCTTTATTTCCATATTTAATACTATTTAGATGAGCCATTAAAGTGTTAATATGAATGAAGTCAGTGTTTTTGAAATCAAAGTATTATGGAATCACTTTGCCAAAAGATGATGTGTTCCTATGAAATGAATAATTCTGTTAAAGACACAACTTAGAAATCTGTCCTTAACATTGCTACTTTTACTGTCCTGACCTTGGAAGATTGAGGTGAAGTGTGATTGTACTACAGAAATCTTATTACTTTCTGTCTGCAAATATTCTGGAAGACATACTCCTACGACTTGGTATTTACCTTGGACTAGAAAACTAAGAATAACTTGGTTCTATAAAAGGGAAGTGTTTAGCAGAAATTCCTGTTACATGTGAAACAACCATTTTTCAGTTGTCTGCTTTAGGAATCTTCAGTACAGTTAACCATCTGTATCCATGGGTTCCACATCCATGGGTTCATAGACCAAAAGTATCTGAGGAAAAATGCTATGGTGTTGGTGGCGTGTACAAAATAGTTAGACTTATGACTGTGGTATCTATACTTGAGCATATACAAACACTTTTTTCTTGCCATTATTCCCTGAACAATATAATATCACAACTATTTACAAAGCATTTACATTGTATTAGATATTATAAGTGACCTAGAGATGATTTAAAGTATATGAGCGGATGTGTGTAGCTTATATGCAAATACAATGCTATTTTATATGTGGGGACTTGAGCATCTGTGGATTTTGGCATCCGCAGGGGACCTGGAATCAATCCCCTGCAGAAACCAAGGGCTGACTGTATGAGAGAACAAAACATGGTGTTTTCTGCACTTCGAGCAATTCCTCTGAGAAATTTGATTATTTCCATAGAAATTAGTCTACTACTCTACATTTCTTTTAACATGATGAACAACTCAGTGGTAACATTTGCCAAATACTCAATATAGTTGTATTTTTTAAATGACATTCTGGAAGTCTTCTGTATTAGGCAAATGGCACTAACCACAGGACAGCTATTGAATATGAATCTATAAGTAGATACACCATATGAGTACTAAGTGGGAAAGAAAGCTATGTACACTCGTCAAAATATTTCAGTATTAAGCAATCATAAGCATACCATTAAACACTGATAATCAACAATTAGCATTGAAATCATGAACAATATTTAAATGTGAAAGAAAGTACAAATGGCTAGGTTTTATCGACTGTGGTTTAATGTTCATTCTATTAAAAATAATTTTGTAAATTAGTATCCATTCTATAAAACAATCATAATGTTCAAATAAAAGTAAAATATTTATTATTCACTTATTTAAAGACAGGCTCTCAGAGTGATGTCTGGTTTCTGTAACTGTCATACACAACAGCCTGAACTGAGCCTGTGCTAATGTCGATAGACACAAAAACTTTTACATGTAAAAACAGAAGGAATTGATAAGTAAGTACCCTCTTCTCATGGAAACCTTGAGCTGAGCTGTATGAAGCTGATGAGATAAGTGTATACTCCAGAAGGCCATGTGTCCAGTTCCTTATCTGATACAAGAGGCCCAGTGCACAAAAATTCGTGCACTTGGGGAGGGTCCCTCAGCCAGGCCTGCCCTAGACCCGCTCCTCACAGGGAGCAGGCCTCAGCGGCAGTCTGGCCTCCCTCTGCGGGAGGCGACTGGGCCAATCAGGGTAAGGCGCCACCCCCATCACCTTCCTCGGCCCTCGCAGCCACTGTGGCTTTGTCTGGAAGGACGTCCAGAAGGACGTCCAGAAGATGTCTGGTCTATCCAGTCTAATTAGCATATTACCCTCTTATTAGTATAGATAAACAGTAACAAATGGGAACACTGGAAGCATATGCACCAGGAATTAGCAGAAAAATGAAATAATCTCCTGCTCTGGGTACTTAGGCGAAATTGTATTTTCACAGAAAGAAATTAGGTAAATTTACTAGATTATATTGATAATTATGGTTAAATCATGAGAAAATCATATGAAATACAAAACATAAAACCTGTGCAGCAGCAAAAGCAAAAGTGTCAAGCAATTCTATCCTTTCTTAAAGACCATTGACATCAATAAACCCATGAGGAAATACACATAAACATGCTTTCAGGTATATGTAATTTATTTAATCTAATCTTTACCTTTTGTTTCTCATGTTATATACAAAATATTTTTATTCTGATTACAAGGTGTAAGGATCAAAGCTGAAGAGACAGCATTTTGCAATATTATTTTGGTCTCATAATTTGAATTTGACAATTATTACTTCTGTGATAAGTGAGACTTGAAATATAACACATGGACTAGAGTGCTTTTGAAACTGTGTATATAAAATGCGTGTTCTGTGCTATATTCTCAAAGTGGTAAAAATTACAAAAGCATGGCATGAACGGCCCATGTTCACGGACTTGTGTGCTTTGCCACTGGGTTTCAGAACCTTTGCACACAGCGCTCCTGTCAGTCCTAGCAATCAGTTAGTTGACATGTAAGATAAAAACCCATCTTGCTAAAGGATAACAATGTTATAATTTCTGATATCAGTATGAACCAATAACTGGATCTTGTAAGATGAAAGACCAACTTACAGAGAACCTCAGAAACATCAACTATACAAAGTTATTTTGATTAAATGTTTTTAAAAGTCCTTAAGAAACTATAAACTGTATAAAATTAATTATACTTTGTTTTATTTTTCATTGTGTTTAAATCACTGACATGGCAAGAAAGGTCAGATGTTATGATCTATATTCACACACAAAGAACAACGGATGGACTTTTCTGAGGATTTTTCTCTAGGGTTCAATAAAAAGGAAGCACTTTCTTACGATCAAAGATAGCATTAAGGGAAATGGAGGAACGGACTACCTTACAAAGCAGTAAGTGAGCTCATATCCATGAAACCTTTATTTAAGACAATGGTCATCTGACTGGGATACAGGCGTGCAGTGTACAGGTCTGAGTGAAAAGTTGGATAGATGACTTCTAAGGTCGCTTCCAACCCTAACGCTCTGTTATCTGTGGCAGTGTTTGGCTAGATTATAAATGTTATGATTTACTCCAGATACATGAGCTAATATTTTACAATTATATAACCAACAAAGCTTTATATTACTTACCTCTGCAACTTTGAGAAATTCAGACACGCGCGTCATTCTAGTTAGAAATCGTTTGTAAATTTCTAGAGCATCTTTACATTGTCCTTTCTTCATTTCAAAAAACTTTTCTAGAACAGATAGACAAGCATTTTTAAAGAGTATTATATTACATTTTATTATAAGTGTATATAAATACCATTACTTAAAATTGAAATTAATGTTTGAATCAACATGGCACTAAAATCTGTAAGAGGTATTAATGCACCTAAAACAAGGGGAGCTCGGTGATTTAAAAAGGGTGCTTGTTCTACAGTGTCTCACAGGAAACAATGGAAATAATGAAAATACAGTAACATGTGAATTATCACAACAGTTAAATTCATGATCCATACCAACCAGCTTTCTGTTTTGGAAAACAGCTTTAAATTCTTTGTGATAACAATCTCAAAAGTAATGAATGACTGCATTGAACTGCATCCTTATTTCCATACTAAGCTCACCCTTAACCAATAATTTACATATCATAAAGCAATAACATATAAACTTCCATGAATTAAAGAATTCTCTAAGATGTCTACACTCCGTATAAATTGATTCTTCCTTTATTGGTTATAAATTATTTCTTTCAAACAGTATAATGCAGCCGTGGGCAAACTACGGCCCGTGGGCCGGATCCGGCCTGTTTGAAATGAATAAAACTAAAAAAAAAAAAAGACCGTACCCTTTTATGTAATGATGTTTACTTTGAATTTATATTAGTTCACACAAACACTCCATCCATGCTTTTGTTCCAGCCCTCCGGTCCAGTTTAAGAACCCATTGTGGCCCTCGAGTCAAAAAGTTTGCCCACCCCTGGTATAATGTATGTTTTAGTTATAAGATTGTGAAGTTTTGTGAAAAACATATGGTTTACCAAACTCTTTATGACTCTATAATCATGTCCCCTTTCTCAACCTGTAGCTTTCTAGACAGAAAAAACAGAGGCATTTGCTGTTCTTTTCTGTACTCCCAAGATTGGACATCACGGTAATTACGGTACTATCGCTCCATTACAACTGCAGCATGACAGTGTGTTTTCTCCACACTGCTTTGAAGAAAACGAGCACTTTATCAGTGTTTTTGCCCGCCAGTCTTTCAGTCCATAATTACTGACACTGCATATGAAGACATGGTAGGTCATTGTCTACAACAGCTCCCAGGCAACTCTAGATCATAACCAATGGCTCGGTATCATCATTATTTTATATCTGCACAATGTTAAACACATGCTATTTTTATATTCTCTCACACTTTAAAGTTCTTGATTTCATTCAGCATGTAATTTTACTACCTCAAAGTATTTTTAATTTTCTCAAGAAAGGTTTTAATAATATATAATTACACAAAGAACTAATTATTAAGGGTAGCTACTCATTACCTTCTGTTGACAGTCTTTTCGTAATTTTACTTTTAGCATGGACCACCCCTGCAGGCTATTCAAGGGAAGCAAAGGGATTGAGAAAATAAACACATACTGTTTCCTACTTGTTAGGATTTGAGAAGGAAGCAAGCCTTTAAAATATATGGTCAAAGCCAAGGATATTTTCTTTATCCATGCTATCCTCTTTTTAAATGCTATAGATAGGACCATGGTGCTAAAAGGAAACAAGTCATTTTTGAAAATAAGGGCTTATTCTGGTAAACTATACTTTCCTTTCTTTCTTGTTATACAATCTTCATATAAAAAATTCTTCAAAATGTCTAAATTACTTTTCTTTATTATAATCTGTTTATTTCTTTGCATTGGGTCTTTAGCAATAACACAAAAAGAAAAAGAAAACTAAATAATCTCAATTTCCTTTTAAAACCAATACTTCAAATTTTAAGCAAATTTTCTCTGTTTCCTTTAGATGCTTTTAAAATTGCATCTATCATGGTAATTTAGGATTCAGGAACAAAAGAGATTCAATCATCATGGTTTTAGGTCATAAGTTCATAACTATTTCTATAACCATGGTAATGACGATGAAAGGCAACATGCACTGACATAAGCAAAATTGAGAGGACCCCTTCTCCCCTTAGAAACCAGGACAGGTTCCAGAGAAATTAACACCTTTAACAGAAGGTATGTGTCACCCAGAAATGAGCCTCTGTCTTTCTTTCATATTAAAGCTGATATATGTTGGTTTTCAGTGTCTGAAATGATCAAATTTGACATTCATAACATAAATCTTTGTACATAAAGTATTGATAAATCCCATCATGTTAGTATTCACTTTCACAAGTAACTGTCCTAGGAAAGAAGCCACATGAAAAGGAATCTCATCCCTGAAAGACAAACCAAGGCTGTACACGTGGATATCAGTCAGGAAGGGAAGCATCTTCTAACTTGAACATCAGAGTTTCAAGATAGATAAAATGTTTGTGAAGGTTTCCGGCACCAATATTGACTCCAACATTAGATGCAGAGAATTGGTCATGAAGTCCTTGATTAAAACTAACCCATAATATATTTAAGTTAATTCCTAGCATTTACGTAGTAAAAAACATACCTGACTGAAAATACTTAGGATTCTAAGTGTGCCTATATTCTAGAGTATTATTTCACAAGAGCCATTTGTCAACGCCGAATGAAGGCCACTCACACCAGAATGTTGTCGGGCAAGAATATACTCCCCTACCACTTTTGAAGAGTCAGGTCTTTAATATGAAAAGGTGTAATTCTCCTCCTTTTCTGCTCCTAATTGTGGCCAATAGACTATCTTTTTCAAATTAGATGAAATAAAAATATGTACCAAATGGTTATTATATTAATAAAAAAGAAAAAATGCATTCTTACTACAATCAATCAGTGAATTCAACAGAAGAAAAAGTAGAGCAATATTTAAGTAGCTGTTCAAGACAACAATAGAGGAGGATCACATAGCTTAACATGTTTAATTGTTACATGAATTGTAGAGGCCCTATATCCAATGTTCTTCAAGCAGAAGTGGGAACGAAACAAGGGTCCACTGGTGAGAGAGGATGAGAATGAACCAACTGGGTGTGGGTTTAAGTAAGATGAGCAACTCAAAGATAACTGAGGTTTTAGATTTGAAAGTCTAATTATATATAAACAGAAACAAGGAGATTAGGAAGGGTAAATTCAAGAGCTCAGTTTTAGATCTTGCTGAGTTTTAGGTAAGAACACAATATCTAAATTTAAGTGTCTACAAATAAGAAGACATGCAAAACTAAAGCTCAGAATAAAGGTAAGAACCAAAATAGTAGATTTGGGAGTCATCATAATGAAGATAATAGGTTTTCCAATGAAGAACACACAGAAATAGCAGAATGGTAAATGGCTAGAAAGGAACTTTAGCAAAAGCTGACATTTCTGAGTGGTAAGCAAGAGTAAGATCAGCTAGCAAAAGAGAAATGAGAAAACCTATCTTATTTGGTTTACAGATAAACTGTCCCACCTGAAATAAAGGCAATATGGTTTTGAACTGCATATTATGGGCAGGAATCTTTCCACAGTAAAGGCAAAATATCCAACAGCCCTGTATTCGATGTTGGGATTGGCTCACCCAACCCCCATTCTTTCATTTTCTAGACTCATAGAAGCCAGGGTTCTGCGAATTACACCTGTGGGAGGCCTAGAAGGTGAAATTGAGGCAGAGCCATATGTCTTGTACCTTTACACCTGTTTCCTACAAGTGATAAAATCCTACGAGTTTATCTTTCAGCAGCACTGCACTGTCTGCAGTCCACCTTCGGGGTTTTGAGGAGTAATTGTTATGGTTGCAGCTACTTGGCATGACTCCCTCATCCCTGGATTATAACTTCAGGTGTCCGTTCTCCTGCTTTCTAGGGTTGCAAGGCAGTCAGGGTGGTAGCAGCAGCGACTTTCTTTGAGCACAACTTAAAGTGGTGGCCTTCGTAGTAACTAACTCCCCTAGATTCAGTAGTCATCTCAGGAGGCTGAACCTAGAACCAGTTCCTGCAGGCTTCCAATAATTACATAAGTACCTAGCTCCCTGTATTAAATCTCTTTTTATTTACAATATGTAGGGTACTTTCTGTTTCTTGAATAGGTACAGTGTTTAATAACTGAAGTGGCTGTAGAAATCAGACCCTCAAAAATGTTGAAGATGGGAATCTTGGGTTAGATATGCAACCTGATTGGCTCTAATGGCAGCAATGTCCACCTGCAGCTACTGGAAAATTAGATTCTCATAGGCTGTGCTGCACAGGAGAAAAATAATTACTTAAATGATCACCTACGGTTTTCTGAAATGAGCACCCAGAATTAAGCTTATCAGAGCGAGCAGCTGCTGGGATAGAGACCACCATGATGGGAACAAGGCAAACACAACTGTGGGGTGAGGGAGGGGCTGCTTCTGATTCCCCTGAAGAGCTTACAAAGGAAAATGACAGCACAGGATTTTACATTATGGACGCAAGGTTCCGTTCAGACTGTGATACTACAAGCTGGCCTAAAATAACCTTATCTCTTGCAGACACAGGGCTGTCAGAGCTGAAAGTCAGATGAGTGGCTAATCCTGTGAGTTGCTGAATTATAACATATGTGGGTAAGTTAAATTTCCAGCCTCACCATGGTGTCCTTTGTGAAAATTAGGGATTTTATTGTAAAAGGAAATTGAAAACAAAACAAAACAGTTGGGTAGATTCATACAAAAATGAATCTATCCTTGCTGGGAAAAGCTTTTCCCGCTTAGTCGGAAGAAGCTGGTCCTGCCTTGCTTGGAGATCCTGTAATCAACCTCTTTCATCAGAGAATGAAAATTCTCCTCAAACCCTATCCCTCTACGTCTTATCCCCTTCCCTTTGTCAACTGCCTCAATAGAATGAAATCAGAATCCAGCAATTCCTGCATGCCCCAGGGAGACAAGCACAAAGTCGGACCCAGGAGGAAAAAACACACATGCTTCAAGAAGTACAAGAGTTTGTAGACTTATGTTGGCAGGATGACTCCCAGACAAAATGAAAGATACTGACTTAAATTTAAGTGGTAAATAACAAATAATTTTTAGCATGAGCATGTCCCAAATATTGCATGGTGTTTATTAATACAAAAAGAGTCATTCATGTTGATCTGAATACAAATTTAATGGGGCATCTTGCATTTTTTTCCTCCTGAATCTGTCAGTCCTAATTGATAAAAATCTAGAGAAGTGGAATGAATTCTAAAGGTCTGAGCAGGAAAGAAGGAATATTACATTAGAATTTACAACGTCATTGATAACATCGATTTGGGTGAGCATACAAAACGCGTGGATTCAAAATGCTAGCCTGAGCATCTGGGAGGGACTCAAACACAGTGGCTCTCAAACTGAAGTCCCCAGATGGGCAGCAACAGCACTGATCAGGCCGTATTAGAAATGCCATTCTCAGGCCCTTCCCCAGACCTACGGAATCAGAAACTCCGGGTTAGGGTCTAGCAACCTGAATTTCAATAAGTCTCCCAGGTATTCTTAAGGAAGGTCCTAGAAACACAGCCAAAGAACTTTTTTCTTTTTTCTTGTCTCCTGCAAAGGGACTGTTATCAGAGTGTGCACAAGGGAAAAAAAAACGTGCCCAGACTTTTCAGGGACACAGACTCTAAGCTGATGCTACTCCCTGGGGACTCAAAATGTCACTCTATGTTCTATCATCCTGAGTAGAGGCTCTATGGAGATTAGGTGATAAAAGAAAATGATATCCCAGTGGATGCATGAAACTATCTGCGGTTATTGCCCCAGTTTCCTGAACATATAGTTGGAACAGAAGTACTCTGAAACTAGCAGAGTCCTCACGATTGTTTCCTAATTTCTGCAAAGCTATAGGGCTAGCATTCCATCATATCCCCAGTTAACTTGCATATCTGGTTTGTGCAAAAGATGCATGGATGGTAGAGAGTAATAGTAGGTTACTGCAAACGTAATCAGGTGGTGACGCCTATTTCAGAGATCCAGATGTGTTCTCCTTACCAGTGTACAATCAGCACAGCTCCTGACACCTGACAGGCAACTATCAAACCAGAAAATTCTTTTATCTCCAGTCAATAAACAGAGCTCATCGTAAGTAGTTAGGTTTCATCTGGCAGGATGCCAGTACACCCTCACTGTCTTATTTCAGGGATATCATCCTCTCTGGCTGTCATAAACCCAGGGATATCACTTTAATGACATTATCCTGATAGTATCTACTGGACAAGAATTTCAAGTATGCTAAGTGCCTTGATAAGATACATGCATATCAAAGGGTGAGAGATAGAATCTATGAAAGTTCAGGGACCTGCTACCTCAGTGAAGTTTCTGAAGGTCCAAAGGTCCCCTCCCTGTGAAAGTCAAATTGCTTCACTTTGCACCTCCTATAACCAAACTACAGGCAAAAGTTGGCTGAGTTTTTGTTTTTGTGGGTTTTGTTTTTTTTTTGGTTTGGAGGTAGCATATACAACATGTGTGTGCTGCTTTCAACAGAATATCTAGTACAGTATCAAATATGAAGTAGAATCCCGATGAAGGGAAGGCTCTGCAACAGCTCCAAACTGGAGCCACATGGGCCTTTGCTCCTGCAGATCTAAAGGAACTCAAAGCGTCTGCGGCAGCTCCGAATGCTGCAGAACGCCCTGGCAGGCTCCACTGGGAATTTTAGGAGCCTCCAGTGCTTTGGAGCAGAGCCATGTCTTCTTCAGACAGTAACTAATATCTTTTGGAAAAATTGCTCTTGGCTTGCTTCTACAGACTTTTTTCTGACCATAGAATATCGAGTAATCATGAGACCTCAAGTGTTTTCTAATATACAAAACCATAAAGTTGGACAAGTGCAAGAATACTCCATCATCAAACGGAAGTGGTATATCAGAGGTCAGCCTCAAGCAGATCCTGGATCCCATGCAGGTTGTGTGAACACGGCTCATATTCCCTGTGCACCTCCTCTGCTGCACTGCCCTTTCTCTCTCAGATCATGCCTACGATCAGCTGACTGAGGGACAATACAACTCAAGCTTGGTTTACAGATGGTTTCTCATGCTGGCACTAGTTGGAAGTAGTTTGCTGAATCATTATATCCCCACAGAGGGGTGACCTTGACAGTGAAAGAAATCTTTTACTGCAGGGCAAGCTTTAAGTAGTATATCTATCTGATTTTTCACTTTATGTCAAAGGAAATATGAGGACTCATATGGAAATATACAAAAATATGCGCAGTAACTAACCGCTGGCCTGTTTTACCAGGGACTTAAAAAAATAAAATGGGAAGATTAATGACAAGAGATCTGGACAAAAGGTAGTAGATGGACCTCTCAGAAAGAATGAAGAGCATGAGACTATTTCTATCCCATGCAAATGCAGGCCAAAGGCAACCAAAAGACTCTCATTAATCAGGGGATAAGAGGACTCCATAGACTGATGAACAAAGTGCCATTGCTAAATCTTCAGTCTGCCAATACCCGAGATCAATGCTGGGCTTCCACCTTGGCACCATACTCCAGGGAGAATGGAGTCATCCACAAAGTAATAGGATAAGCATGAATTCCTAGGGAGGAGAGCAGTAATCTCTCTATACCATAATAGACGGTTTATCCTATACATGGATCTATCCTCTGCCCATATTGCTCTGCCAATACCTCCATCTGTGGAATTACCATCACCGTATCTCACACAACACTGTCTCTATTTTTACTGCACACAAAATGAGACAACAGACTCCACAGAATCCATCAGTCTTAACATGAATCCCATCCATCCAGAAGTGGCTGGCCTTATGTAATGATGGGATGGCCTACAAAGAATCCATTCCTAACCTACTCTAGGAATATACCTTAAGAAGCTGGGGATTCTAGTGTACACTCTGAACCACTGATCACTACATAGGTATAGGATCCTAGGAGCTAGAGTGGCTCCTCTCACTATTCTACTGACTGAGGTGGCAGTGGCTGCTTGTTTCCTGCACATCTTCAGGGGTGGCATCACAGGGAGTTATTAGCAGAATGGAGCAGTTATTTATCGTTATGGGACTTATTCTGAGAGGCAAAGCTTAGAACCTACTCCCTCAGTCATTCTGAAATTTTGTAAGCACCAAAATCCCTGTATGGAATCCCTTCCTGCCTAAAACATCTAGATTACTTTCTGTTCCTTGAGCTGAATCCTCAGATGTAAGAATACACAGGGAAATGTGACCGGAATGAATAGTATATTTAGATTTTCATGTATGAAGTCTGTGGTATCCAAATCTTTGCATCTGATCCAGTCTTTATTCAAACATCATTCAGTAGTCTACTTACCAAGTAGGTTAATAACGCCATCATTGTAGCAAGCAAAAAGTTTGATAAGATCTTTGAAAAGAAGCATAAATGCAGCATTTATGACACCATTTGTTAGCTCATTTGGATGCACCTAGAAGAAAATGAGAAGTTAATATGTTAAATCGTATCATCAAATGACAATTTTTCTCAGAGCACATCAAAGTGTCTCAAATGATTACTAAGAAATTCATCCCTATTTTACAAATGTTGTGTAATTCTCTTTGTAACCCTGCCAATATCAAAAGATGGATCGCATTTTTCTTGCTTTAAGTCAATGAAGTTAGTCCTATCAATTATAAGACATATATACACTCTATTTGATCAGTAATCCATAGATGGGTCATATCCACCTTTGAACATCTGGTCTTCTGTTGCTTTTACTATGTTTTATTACATTCTTCCACCTCCTCTATGTAATGATCTCTGGGTAAGGGCCTGCAGTAACTCAGCGAGGAAGCACAGCATGGGAAATAGATACCTTATCAGCAACCCCTAAAATAAATCTAGAGAATCATAGCTTTTACGCATCCACCAAATACTCTAACCACCAAAACAAAGAAGAATAATTTCTCCTCATTCCCGAATCCTCATTCACAAGCTCTGTTTCTTTGTTTTTTCACTCTTTATGACTTTTCTCCTTTAGGACAGTATTATTGAAGGGAAGAAAAGCAAAGAAAAATAAATGTACAAAAAGAGGAAAAGATAAGCAATTCCATAAATGCCTAGCTAAGTCCTTACTACAAAACCTATCAAAAACAAGACAGTTTGCTGCTTTCACTGAAATGTCGCAGGAGTTGGGTGCTGTGACTAGGATGCAATTGTAAAGTAAACCATATCGTTGTAACAGAAATTTTAAATTATTAATATCTGAGGAAAATAGTTTTAAACAACCACCAAAGGAAGGAAAAGCTAGCAATGTGAGTTAAGAATCTTACTACATGTCAGAATACTTTATTTTCATGAATTAAATGTTTATTTAATTAAACTTTTTATTTTGAAATAACTATAAATCCATATGCAGTTGTAAAAATAGAGATTCCCAGGTACCATTCACCCCGTGCCTCCCAATGGTAACATCACAAAACTATAGTATAATATCACAGCCAGGATATTGGTATGGATACAATCCACAAGTCTTATCCAGATTTCCCCAATTTTATTTGTATCCGTGTTGTGTGTGTTTAGTTCTATATAATCTTACCACAGCCAACACACAGGTATGGTTTTACTAGTAGAGACCAGCCAGGAAGAAGGACCAGGACAAAAACAAAAATAATTCTCTTTGGTGGATGGTGTCATTTAAATGGTCTGTATAAAGTGGCTTCTAACAGCAGGCTGAGTCAGCTGCCTGCAGGTACATTTTGCACTACATTCTGTCAAAGACAACAGGAAATGTTCATCCTCCTCCACACCTGGGGTTCCAAGAATGCATCACTCACATTTTTCCATGACTTAGTAAATACCTGGAAAACTGCTGGGACAATCTGCACCATCATCTCCACCACGCTAACAGCTTCAACTAAGGGCTTATCTAATGTAAATGAGGGAGATCTAAATCTGCTTCCAGCTTTACCTGTAGCCCACCTTCAAATGAAAGACAATATCGACTGTGTAAGAAACATCTGCCAGTGAGATACATACATCAAATTCAAGCAGTGCATCGATTTGTCCCTGCAGAATTGGCATACTCTTTAGTAGCTTTTCTGGAACCATTGTTCTCATTACACCATCAGCCCTACAATTTTTTTAAAAAGAGAAAAAGATAAAACTTTCTTGTACATCAAAAATTCAAGACCACACACATTGTTCCAAGCTATTTCTCCCCCCTCCTCCCATTTCCTTGTTAATCATGTGGGGTGATTTTGAGACATGAAGAGGCTGTAGTTGACCCCGCTCTCTGTATTACTTCCTTTTATCCATTCTCATTCTTCAACCACACAGGCAACAAAGGAAGAGAGCCATGTGGTCTGGATATTTAGAAGCCAGTTGAATTTCTAAATAGATTCTTTTAAATATTTAAGCTAGATAATAGTATTCAAAATACAAGTTTCCTAAATGCCAGTTTGTTTGTTTCTGAGAGAGAAAACAAGTCATGGAAGTCTTCAAAACCTGTAGGCCTGGGAGTCCAGATGTTATACTATGAACCATCAGTGAAGAAAAACGCATGCTGATAGGCACAGTTTGGCCTAAAAGAAATGTGTTTAGCCACACAGAATGAAAGCAGAGGTTAGTGCCGGAGGGTGCCTCAGAGCAGGCAATGAACCCTGGACCCACCGCTTAGGGAGCCCCTGCATCCAGGGATGGTCAAGAAGCAGTGGCAGTACTGCAATGGGTGAAGAAAATGTGATGTGAACAGGCCGATGATGGCAATTTTCAAGGTCTTTCTCACTTCGACGGTAGGAAAAGTATCCCCAAGTGTCCTGATGTGCATAAAAGGGTGCAGAAGTTTCTGAGAAGGTGTGGACTTGTGGTGGGGAGGCCACAACCCATGTGAGAACATCAACAATGATTGCCCAGGGCCATGTTAGCAGTCAGAGGAAGGGGCATGGACTAGAATCTTCTCTAACAAGAAGGGGATGAAGTAAGAATCTTCATTTTATAAAATGTTTACCCACAAGAAACTAACTTATTTTGAATAGGCAAGCTTATTATTGTTCATCACCATGATTTAAAAAGTTCAAAGCTAGGGCTGGGCAAGCTATTAGAAGAACAGAGTTAAATCTTTTTGTGTGAATCCCTGAAACTAAAATATTAAACCTTCTACAATGCCTTGTCATTTTTTTCAAGTTAGAAAAAAATCACAAGATTTACACAAATTTTTGACTGAACATTTCCGATTAAACTCAAACATCTATTTAGAAGGAAATAAATGTTAATTAAGAATTAAAATATGTTTCCGTTTCAATGAAGCTTTCTTAATCAATGGTTAGTACTAATATTTAATTCAATTATGGGGTGTGTGTGTGTTTATAATACCAGGGCGGCATTACCTCTCAAAAAGAGATCTCCACCGTGTACACAGTTCAGTTTAACCTCAATCAAAACACATTGAAATAATTATTGTCAACTTCGGTCACTGCTCTTTTAAATAAACTTTGCTTAAATTCTCTCCATTTAAAATTAAAGATATATATATATATATATATATATATATATATATATGTTTAAGAATTTTAAATTGATTTTAACAAACAAAATGTTATACCAGAACATCATGTCAGATTTTATGCATGATATATAAAGTATATTACAACCTCAAGGCTAACTTCTATAATATTATTGAGTTTCTTTTTCAAGCATTTGTAAACAGGGCCTTCATAATCAAAATTAATTGGCATTTAAGCTTAATTAAAAGAAATTAAGTGTGCTTCAAAAACTTTTTCTGCTCAAATAAATAGGAGAAAGAAACAACATACCCTTTCTTCACCCTGGCAAAATCAAATGCCATCTGTCTGTAAGAGAAAGCCTTTTCATTTAAATATCTACTATAGCGCCTTATGAAGGTAGACATATCATAACCTGGGGAAGGAGCAGAGGAAATAAAACTAATTAATAAAATACCTTCAATTGTGCTTTGCTTAGTACCAATTCCTTTTAACTCCCCAATGTAAATAATTCTAGGGTAAGGGTCAATAAGTGTATCAGACAAGCGTCATTTAAAATACTACTGCAGGCAAAATGGCTTTGCCATGAGACATTCCAAGACTATTCGGTTTAGCTATGCTATCATCCTTGTACAGAATGTCTATTCTGATTTTTCCTTGCAGTTTTGTTCACTGTTTCAAATAACAGCCTGTTTTAGACTTAATATGTGCAACTCTCTGAGAACTCTCCACTTGCTTGGTGTGCCTGCCTTATATGTAACAGCAACCAGCAAATATGATGAATGAACAGATGGATGCCATTTGAATTCTATTCCTTTATAAAGAACACTCCTTCAGGACTGTTACCTGTTTTTTAAATTGGGAAAGTACCTTTCATTTCACTGCTTCTTGTACCATTATAAACAAACAACTGTGGGTCTAGCAAAACCACTGTTACTATTTAAGGTAAACACTAGAAAGACAAAAATAAAATTTACATAATTTACATACTAAGTTATTTTAACAATGAGATATTTAAAAACTAGTATAAACTACCTATATTCAGGGTGTCCCATAATTATTCATTCAAAGTGTATATATACTTCGGGTTAAATGTGAAAAGAAAGAAACATCAATTGAACTATCAAAAAATGTATGTACACCCTATACTTTTCATTTTTCTTAAACACACAGTTATAATGATTTTGTATTAGTAACTTCATTTCAAAAATAAAAATAATTAGACACAATAAACATTAGCAAAAAAACCATAAATATTCTCACCATGGGATCCACTTTTGTCCAAAAAATTGCTGAGATTGAATAGTGTATTTCTAGAAGCCAAATACTGAATAAACCTCTGAAAAACAAAAATTAGAATCAAACGCCAATGTTCTCAAATCATACTTTTAAATAATTTCTGATACTAAAGGGAATTTTTATTTTTACAAATTGTCACTCTTTTCCTTTACTTCGTTATAAATCTTCTTAGTCTCATGACTTTCTCTGAAGGGAGAAAAAGCCTGAATAATACTTACTGAGTTAGAACTAAATTGTATGATCTTTCATTTCTATATATATTAGAAACACTATAACTTAATAAGATTCTCTATGCATCCTATACAAAGTGGGGAAGTTTTATATTATTAATATTTTCCAAAATTAAATGTTTATGAAAGCAATTTTCACTTAAACGCACAAAGGAATACTTCCTATGGGAAAAATAATTTTATTGTTCCTTTTCCCTAACATTTTTGCCCACTAATACATTGACATGGTAAATACATTTAGATACCAGTAATACTGAATACTTAGATAGCTCTAATAAAATGTCTAACCACATCTGCTTTTTGAAAAATAGCAAAATAGATTAAAATTGTACTCTAGAAGAATATGAACCAAGATTTCCTCTTCTTTTTCTCTTAATTAGTGAAAACCCAAAGGGCCTTAAGTCATCATCATACTCTTCCTCAAAAGCCTCATTCCCCCACCCAAAATAGGCAAGTTTACTTAGTTTACCTCATTTCCATGCACCATGAGATGATGTGTTGTGACTAAAGCTTTAAATACAACCACCCAGCTACTGTTCGTTGCTCGTTCAAAGAGCGTGTCGGCCATCTGAGGAATATTAACATTGGTCTCATTGGTAGCCTGGATCAAATCTATGAACATATAGAAGATATCAGTCAATTATATTAGTCATTAAATACAAAAATTCATTTCAAATGTTAAACGTTTAAACCTGTTCACTAAAATGAATTCAAAATTGCTTTGAAAATAGTTAACAAAATTTTTTAAAGTTAAACTGTATTATTTTTACACATATATTTATGTGTTTTTTCTTAAGCTTATTTTTTTTCTATTGAATCGTCTTCTAAATTTTATGTGTTTTCTATTACCAATGTCATTTTTTAAAAGTACAAACCGCAGGAAAGCTAAGCCTCATATTAGTCATCTTTGTTATCCCTCCAAGCATAACTGTCTCAAACATGTGGACACTTACTCTATGCATCATTTGAAGTCAATAACATAAATGTTTTTTTTGAAACACAATAGCTAAAAGCATATTTCACTTGGATTTTAATTTTGATGGATGTTATAAATACATTTGTCACATAAGTGTCAGAATGAGAGCAAATAGTAAAAGGAAAGAAGTTTACTACGCCCATCCAAGCTTTCAAAGAACATCATGCATGCATTAAATTACTATAATTTGACTCTAGTTTCTAAGGGAGTAAAACTTTATAATACATTCACTATCCTACATATTATCAGTATGATTCCAGGTCTATCTTAGGGGAAAAAATTTTTTTACAGTGGCCAAGAGGGGCTGCCCAGCATTCAGAAAACATGGTGAGTATTGTCAAAAAGCAGCAGAGGCAACCCAAGATCACAGGCTTACAAAATGAATCTAAGCCACACCTAGGCAGTGAAAAATTAAGAGGAAACAACACCTTAGACTTCCTTTGCATGCCACACCCACCATCCAGAGAACTGCATGTGATTCCCATTTCCAGGTAATCCCATGCAATCAACACGGAGGCAAACCCATGCTTTTCTTTACTCAAAATCCACACTCAGTAATCATTAAGCTATGTATTTGTTTTATGCACTTCTCTATTTTATAATAAATAAGGTTTTAAAAAATTGATACTCCATCACTGAAATAACTATTAATTTCTTAAAGGGTATCGATAATTGTTCTGAGTTACAAGTGAACCAAACCGCCCTAACCGGTTTGGCTCAGTGGATAGAGCGTCGGCCTGCGGACTGAAGGGTCCCGGGTTCGATTCTGGTCAAGGGCATGTACCTAGGTTGCAGGCACATCCCTAGTAGGGGCTGTGCAGGAGGCAGCTGATCGATGTTTCTCTCTCATCGATGTTTCTAACTCTCTATCCCTTTCCCTTCCTCTCTGTAAAAAATCAATAAAATATATTTAAAAAAAATAAAGTTCATACAAGTGGACCAAACCAGGCTTATTTCTGACTTTATTTTAAATTCCATTCATCATCCATGTCCCCTTAACGCTCTTCCCTCAACATTCCTTTATTGGAATTCTATTCATCCTTCAAGAAATCTTTCCTGGTCCCTTTTAAATGTAGCCCCATGTGATCTCTCTCTGTTTTAAAACTTGAGGCGCTTTGTTCTTGCTGGGTGTTCAGATTAGATGTGTCCCCGTCCTAAGTTCCTGCCATACCAAAGCTCCTGGAAGATGGAAACAGTCATACCGATGTCTTGTTTCCTGTGCAGCACTTCATAGAACACAATGCACAGTAAACATCTGCTGAGCAAAATGTATAAAAGCTACACTTTAGCCCCAAATATAAGGAGTTCTTTGAAAAAGAAAAATCACTATGCTATCACATTGTTTTCTGAGACAATATCATAGGACTAGTTGAAATTCTGTTCCAGTCATAAACTTTTCTATTCGTTTATTTACTGAACTGGGCTCAGGGAATACAGAAATGCACTGCTGGTCAGAGGAGACAAAAGCATGGTCAGATAATAGAGAAACCCCTCTAAGAGATGAGTAAAAAGAGGCAACATAATAGTAGAAAGAATCCCGGGCCAGAGCCCTGCTCAGCCCCTGCCTAGGTGTGTGACTCTTGGCAAATTAATATCCCTTTGACTCAGGTCCTCATCTTTTAAATTGGGGTAATAATTACTACTTTTCAGGGCTATTATAAGAATTGCAAGTGGTCTGAACAAAGTAGGTGCCCAAATAAATGTTTGTAAATACTGTTACACATATACTGCATTATGAAAATACAGTGAGATATTAGGAAAGATTCCATGGAAAGGACCCTAAACTCAGTCATGACCTGCGACAGGAATGAGAAGTACATTTTTAGCAAATTTGCAAAGTGTGGAGCCATAAGAGGTGCTGTGTCCTTGGACAAATGTGGGGGTCTCAGGGCTAGGTGTGGGCAGGTGGTGGGGAGAAAGTTAACTAAGAGCAAGGGAATGGCCGGTGAGGGATCTCACACAGGACATTAAAGAGTTTGGATTTCACCCTATGGACTAAGGGGACTCTTGGAAAAGTACCAATAAGATTTCACTTTTAGAGTCAACCACGTTATTCAGCAACCACTAAATGCTATCTGCAAGGTAAGCAGAAGCACAGGATGAGGAATCATCATCTTTGCCTGGAGATACTAGAAGGCATGAAAGTGGCAAGTTAAAAAGTCCAGTTGAAAGTCAGATGAGGTGAGCTTAAACTAAACTAGTAGTGGAGATAATGAATGGGGAACAGAAAGATATTTATGAGGTACAACTGACAGGATTTGCAAGTGTGTAAATGGATATGAAGAGGTGAAGGGAAAAGAAACCCTGAACAAGTCCAGGTTTCTGGTTTGAGGTCCAGTTAATGCTTTTCACTGAAATTGAAAGAGAGTTGTTTCAAAGAAGATATGAACTACTAGAGGCCCGGTACACGAAATTTGTGCACGGTTGGTGTGGGGGCGGGGGGGAGGGAAAAAGTGTCCCTCAGCCCGGCCTGCACCCTCTCCAATCTGGGATCCCTCTCACAATCCGGGACCGCTGGCTACTAACCACTCACCTGCCTGCCTGATTGCCCCCTAACCACCTCTGCCTGCTGGCCTGATCTCCCCCTAACCATTCCTCTACCGGTCTGATCACTCCCAACTGCCCTCCCCTGCCGGCCATATCGCCCCCTAACTGCTCTTCCCTGCCAGCCTGATCACCCCCTAACTGCTTGCTCCCCCGTGCTGGCCTGATCGCCCCCTAACTGCTTGCTCCCCCATGCCAACCTGATTGTGCCCCTAACTGCATGCTCCCCCGCACTGGCCTGATCTCACCCCTAACTGTTTGCTCCCCTGCACCAGCCTTATCTCACCCCTAACTTCTTGCTCCCCCATCAGCCTGATTGCCCCTAACTGCTTGCTCCCCTGCTGGCCTGATCGCCCCTAACCGCCTCTGCCTCAGCCCCCGCAACAGTGGCTTTGTCTGGAAGGAAGTCGGACGTCTGGAAGATATCCAGTCAACCCGGCCTAATTAGCATATTACCCTTTTATTAGTATAGATTTTGGACATGATATATTTGAAATAGCTGTTGGAGATCTAATATGACCAATGGATTTTAATGTAACAGTATAAATGTTCACTGACATGGTTTCAGATTCAACATTACAATTTAAATTTAAGAAACTACCACTTAAAGAGTTGTGGTGTAGTATCAAGAATGTCCTGAAAAGGCTATTAAAATGGTTCTCTCTTTTCTAATTGGGTATCTGTGTGAGGCCAGATTTTCCTCATATATTTCAACCAAAACGATATATTCCAACAACCTGTATACAGAAACAGATATGAGCAACCATCTTCTTTGGAATAGGATATTAAAGAGATGTGTAAAGATATAAAACCAAACATACCACTCTTCTTACTACAGTCCTTGTTATAGAAAATAATTATTTTTCTCTAAAAGTATTTTTTGTGCTAACTTATCAATTGGTTTCTTATTGTTATTTTAAAAAGAAAAATATTTAAAGACTTTCTGTTTTGATGTCGAATACAGTAATTATCTAAAGACATAAATCACATAAACAAAAACTTTGAATTGCTCAATAATATAAGAGTACAAAAAAAGCCCTGAGAACAAACAGCTTGAGAGCTGCTTTTCTTGGTATATGCCTAACAAGGGAATTGCTAGGTTGTAGGGCATGCATATATTTAACTTTACAAAATGCTTTTACACAGTAATTGCACCAAATATATGCTCATCAGTAGTTTATATGATTTTCTACTGCTTTACTTCCCCACCAAATAAGGGTTTTCATTTAAAGAATTTCAAATAATTCCACAAAACAAAGTATGGACATAACCATGCAAAAAATATTATTGAAAACTGTGAGAATCTAAATGTGAAATATCTGTCATATTTGAAATTCTTAGAATTGAAAGTCTTAATTGAATTTTGGGAGACAGATATGGTATCTTTTGAGTAGTTTTAAAAATAGCTTTTTTGAAATATAATTGACATACAAAAAAAACCAGCACATATTTAAAATATACTATTTGGTAAGTTTTTACAAACATATGCACCATTAAACTATCAGCAAAATCTAGACAATGAACATATCCATCACCTCCTAAAGGTTTCCTCAAGCCTTTTTATAATTCCTCCTTCCTACCCCTCCCCATCTCCATCCCTGTGTCCCTTAACAATCACCAATTTGCTGTCAGCCACTTTACATTAGTTTTTGTTTTCTAAATTTTCTATAAAGCGAATCATATTTTGGGGCACACTGGACAAGTCTAGCTTCTTTCACTCAACATAATTATTTTGAGACTTGTTGTTCCACGTATCAATAGTTTATTCCTTTTTATTGGTGAAGTGTGCTCATTATATGGACATACCAAAACTCTGTGTCCACTCTCCTACTAATGGACATTTGGAGAGGCTGCAGTTTTTGGTTTTTACATGTAAAACTGCTATGAACATTTGTGTACAAGTATTTGTATGAACATATGCTTTCATGTTCCTTTGAGTAATAGCTGAGTGGAATATTTAAGTTATTTGAAAGTAAATATTTAAGAAACTGCCAAACTACTTCCAACGTTGTATCATGTTACTAGTACATTCTCACCAGCAGGGTATGAGCAGTCTAGTTTTTGCTGTTGTTTCGTTGTTCCCATTCTAACA